AAAAAATAAATTTTAGCAATTAAATAGAAAATTTACCTGATTAGAGGTGGAAGGGCCATAGACAACAGTTTCATGTGGATCCATATCTCCATGTTTACTTCGTAAGAAAGCATGTGTGGTTGCCATGACACCAGTCTCAGTACCCTTGTCCACTCGCAGCATGGCTGATATTATTCGCGTTTCATAGAGATATTCAAGGTACCACTTCCCAATTAATTTTGGTTCAGAATTGGATATCCAAACTCTTAACCATAACAGCTTTCTACTGGCAGTGTCAATACATCCATAGATAGCCAATGGGAAAGTGGAATTTTGATATCCCATCAGCTTATCATGACCATCAAGTGCATGCACCCAATTCGTTCCCTTTGTCGTGAAATGCCCCTTCTTTCTTTTCTTCTTGCCACCAACGCCACCTCTGATTTCAAGTCCCTCTGGGTCAAGCTCAGTCATCACATCATAGACTTTATCCCTTGTAACATTAAGACCATGTTCTATCCTGATTTTTTTGTGCATGGCCCTGTAACCTAAAAGCATACCCGGGCCGTTCAATTCAGTTTGCACCGCTTCGATTACATCCGAGACTCCAATATTTTGGTCATTATAAAACAACTCGAAATGGCGAAGACGTCTATCGAGCGACCTGAGACTCCATGTATATTGAGGAAAGTCGCGAGTAACAAAGTCTAGTACCTCACTTCTTTTTAATCCTTGCTGAACATAATTTGACAAAGCTTCTTTAAGATTTTCATCATCTTTCCAAGGTGCTTCTCTGATATCTGAATTGCCTGCCATTTTGTCACAACAAAGGAATTTTAATGAGTCAGCTCTCGGGTCGCTGTGCATTATGGTAGTGGCAGCCCTCGGCCATGGTGAAATTCACTTTTACTTTGTAATTTTAATTGTAAATCAGTATTTTGTATTTCATTTTAATTTACTTTTTTTTTTCATTTTAATTTATTTTTATTTTTCATTTTAATTTATTTTTATTTTTCACTTTAATTAAAAAAAAATTATAAAGAATATTTTGGTAGTGGCAGCCCTCGGCCATGGGGAAATTCACTTTTACTTTAATTTTAATTGTAAATTATTTTGTATTTCATTTTAATTTATTTTGTATTTCATTTTAATTTATTTTGTATTTCATTTTAATTTATTTTTATTTTTCATTTTAATTAAAAAAATAAAAAGTAAAAAAATCTTTAAAATAATGTAAAATGTACAAAAAAAAAAGAGTGGCAACGCTCGGCCACCATAGTACTGTACTATTTGGCAGAAATGGACTTTTAACAGTCTACTCTTTGCCATCAAGTTTAACTGTTGAAAATTAACCCAAAACTGTTTCTGATCAAACTAATTCATCTTTAAGGATGAGGCCTGGGTATATTAGTTTGCAAAAAGTATAATTTGATTCAAATTTGAGTGGTATGTCCAAGGCCGTTTTTTGACATTTTTAAAATCAACCAAAATTACAATATTCACAGTGTTTATTTACTTGAAAAGCCCAATATTTGTATTTTTTCTTGGAAAATCATGTGAGATATCATGTCTAGTCATATGGACATATCACTTATTACATTTTTCACTATCCATATTGATTTAAAATCTGTATGAACATTTTTATTCCCAAAATCCATCAAGTACTGGTACTGTACTATTTGGCAGAAATGGACTTAACAATCTACTCTTTAACATCAAGTTTAACTGTTGAAAATTAGCCCAAAACTGTTTCTGATCAAACTAATTCATCTTTAAGGATGAGGCCTGGGTATATTAGTTTGCAAAAAGTATAATTTGATTCAAATTTGAGTGGTACGTCCAAGGCCGTTTTTTGACATTTTTAAAATCAACCAAAATTACAATATTCACAGTGTTTATTTACTTGAAAAGCCCAACATTTGTATTTTTTCTTGGAAAATCATGTGATATATCATGTCTAGTCATTTGGATATATCACTTACTACATTTTTCACCATCCATATTGATTTAAAATCTGTATGAACATTTTTATTCCCAAAATCCATCAAGTTACTGGTACTGTACTATTTGGCAGAAATGGACTTTTAACAATCTACTCTTTAACATCAAGTTTAACTGTTGAAAATTAGCCCAAAACTGTTTCTGATCAAACTAATTCATCTTTAAGGACGAGGCCTGGGTATATTAGTTTGCAAAAAGTATAATTTGACTCAAATTTGAGTGGTAGGTCCAAGGTTGTTTTTTGACATTTTCAAAATCAACCACAATATTAAAAAGTTCATATTAGGCTGTTTTGAAGGATATGTGAATCAAATGTGCAGAGCTGAAAAGTGCTGCAGAACTGTTCCTTAACAAGCTAAATTGTCTCACATATGAAGGCTGGGGTATGTTAGTTTGCAAAAAAATATTTTGCTTAAAATCTAAGTGTGCGGTCGAAGGTCGGTTTAGTGCACAGTCCAAGGTCAGTTTTTACCATTTCTAAATATCAACAATTACTACCAAAATCAACATATTCATAAAAAGGCTTGGCAATCGGGCCAGCCTGGTTAATGTATTTATATGGGAAAATGCTTGTCCTGGTAACCGAGATTTAATATTTTTCAAGTAAGGTATTGTGCAAAGCTACACAGTGATATGTCTCTTATTAGGCTAGTTGTAGTGCTAACCATGCAAATCCAGCTTTCATATAAAAATCCTGCATGTCTGAACCTCTTTATTTAACTCATTCTGTGATTTTTTCTTATTAATTTCATTGAATGCATAAACACACAGATGGGTCATATTGGAATTCTACCAGGCCAGGCATAAATTAGATCATGAATATACACAGTATATCACAATAAATTTGCAAAAATATCAGATTTTCTAAGAAGATCTTTTCTTGCAGGTTACCAAAGAAAGCTAGAAATTAAACAAGATGAGAATGAATATTTATTAAATCACAGATTGTGATACAAATTTAATTATGATACAAATTTATATATTGTGTGGATATTACAAAAAGTTTATAGGATGTACAAAATACTCTACAATGTACAGACATATGTCTTCATCATATCTTTAAGATATTTGCTATGTTGGTGTAACATACTCAGGTGAATAAGATGCTTGTGATGTTCCTCAGAGCAAAAAAAACTGATTTGAAGTAAATTAATTATATTTACAAATGTTCAAATTCTTCCTTGAAAATTCAAAAATAGTGCTTTAAAATTTTGCATGTACCTATTGTATATTAACAAGTTTAATATAAATAGGTAGGTCATCATTCCAAAGACGAAACTCACGAAAGCACTCACTTTCAATCAGTTTAATATTATAATAGCTTTAAATTATGCTCACCCCTGAGTCCGATACATGTGCATATTTACATAATAATAATTTAAATAACAGCTACTAAGTCAACCTCGTACCCAGGGTATTTGCTCTTGGGGAGCGAAATACCCTGGTATGGCCTGGTCATGTGACCCGCGGATTTTGCGTAAAATGGCGTATTGTTTTCTAGGGTCGGGGGAGTGAGTATATATTGTCACAATTAGATCACTCTATAAATATAAACAATATCCATTGAATCTTCAAAGAAATCATGAAAAGAACTGCGATTAAAAATTAATATTTATTGTGATGTGACTTTCTGCTCTATAATCTAGTGTCGAGTTACAATTCAGGCAAGTTGGATCAGATTTCAACTTATATATAGACTTGTCACTGAGAAAGCATGCGTGGACGGCGTGGCAATATAAAGCAGTACAAGAAAATATATACATCCAGACTGAACAATGTGGTTATTCATTTGTTTAACTGTTAGTAAAGTATATATAGATACTCGAACCAAAAGAATTTATTTATTGATAAGATGTGGCATGGAATTGCAACGAAAAAGCGAGATCTTTTGATTTCCGAAATATCGCCAAGACGCCAACTGTATCCAGATTGTTGACTATAAAAGCTTTATAAAACTTCCTGCATTGGCCCTTGGCATTGCTGAAACTCAACAATCATGGTATATGTTAAAGTCTAGCTGTCTGTTGAAAATCTACAGTGTTAATTAAAATCATACATCAACGATAAGTCAAACGAGAGTATACTATATTATGTCTTTCAATGGGCACTTTATATTAATAGTAGTGTTTACAACATTTATAAATTTTATAAACAGCTTTCGTTTTGACACAACTCACACAAGTTTAAATTTTTTGCTTTATATATATTCTTAGTAATACAAGTGAGATTTAAATGTTTTGCTTTGTGGAATAGAATACCGTTATTTTTTAATGGACAGCTTGTATCGTCTTTATCATATCCAGGATTGCTTGTAAATGCATATATCACTATGATCTGACACTATCAAATAAATATACAAATATATTTGAGAGCCATGTTTTTTAGAGCATATTAATGACTAATGAACTAGAAATAAACAGATGATTCACAATGAAAACTTTAAAAATGTTAGTAGAAGTAGAAAACTCAAAAATTTATGTTTATTCATATGACAGTCTGTGCTCGTCTGACACTGTAAATTTGTGATATATAGATTTAGTATATTAGGAAAATATTATGATTAATAAAGACCAAGAAAAAGGCTAAAGCCTGACTATATAATTACCGAATACTATGTACTTTCTCTGTTTGGCTAGTATCAAATGTTTACATTTGCTAATATTGGGCTCTAGTCCCAGACAATACAATACTGTTTCTTTCAATCTTATAAACAAGACCCGTAGACGTAGTAACAAGTAATTAAATCGGTGCAAAGCATATAAACATTTACAAGAAAGGACAAATCTAATTGCGTATTTTAAAAACATTACATATGTAGAAATGATGCCTGAAAAGCTCATAATAAACGTTTGTTATAAAACTGCACTGGAGTGTGAAGAGACGGCATTGAATAACAACACATTTGCTTGGTTTCTTGATTTGACTGTTGGTAAAAATTGAAAATTAAACGAGACTTACCTGGAAGTAGAAGTTTGATGATAATTCTACCAGATCATTAGCACAGTAGGGTTAACATGAGATGCGCACTCACCGTCGTGGGTCAGTACTTTAAACGTAACATTTGATAATTGCCAAACCAATGCCTATACAAATGCGTAACTATAGACAAAGAAGCAAAAAAAACAAAAAAAACGGAAAAACTAATACTCCTTCTTGGGAGGGTATTCATATGCATGGGAGTAATGGGCATGTTAACCCTACTGTGCTAATGATCTGGTAGAATTATCATCAAACTTCTACTTCCAGGTAAGTCTCGTTTAATTTTCAATTCTACCAAATCATTAAGCACATCCGGGTTACCATGAGACTTTAAAGCACAGATCACCAAATGGTAATACATCACACATGTAATAACAATTCAATGTTGTAATACAGCAACACTCATTTGATTAGTCAAAGCTACTGGTCTATTGTAGAACTTTCGAAATGTACCTTCTGTGGACCATCCAGCTGTAGCAAGGATGTAATCGACAGACACAGCTGCCGCGGCTGCTTTACTTATTTCTACAAACCTCGGTTGCTTGCAGATAAAATTGCAATGTTTCATATACACACAACTTCTTATCTGGATATTTATACAAAGTCACATTGCCAAACACACTCCCCGGTCTGTTTTGTTTAATATGTTCTGTCAATGAAAAACTGAAACATTGTTCATTCTTGGTCATCTATTCATCAGAAATATCCATGAAGGTTAACGTCTGGCACCGCTGACCTGTCGTCAACACAATTAACATAACTAATTTCAATGTTAGTGCCTTATGAGTAAGTTCATTTAAAGGCCACAACACACTAAGATGCTCCAGTACAATATCCACCAACCAAATGTTATTAAACTTCAGTACAGGCTTCGGTTTATTAAATATTCCTTTAAGGTATCAACATACTAATGGGTGTTTACCAACCGGTGTATGCATTTTTGTATGAACTGAATTTTCATCAATATTAGAAACCGCCGAACGAGCAGTATTCAAGTCAGAATAACAGAGCAGAGGTTATTCTCATGAAGCTGATGTAAGAATGCCAAAAGCGTATTCACAGCGGGATGCACCAGATCAAACAATTTTTCGCTACAAAAGTGTACCCATTTGTTGATGTAAACTCGGTACTGTTTGTGTGTAGAATTTCGCCAGGAGAGCATAATGATATCGGCAATCTCCGGCAAAATGTTGCGTTCATGCAAGGAATGCCTGATAATTTGCATACCATCAATACCAAACTCTGATGCAGAGGACGTGGACTGGTTCAAACTGGATGTACCAGATTCGTCCGTGACGTCTTGAATATCCTTGGTGTCTTGATTAACAAATTCTATACGCTTGTGAAATAGGTTTGAGTTGGCCACAACGGAATAACTAGTATCCCCATTGCTTGCTCCTGCACTATTTTCTGAATACACCTAGAAATAAGACAAAAGGGTGGAAACGCATAAAATGAAAACTGTTTCCAATCAATTTTAAAGGCAATCTATATACTTCGCCATAGGATCAGGTTTCCATGAAACATAATCAGGAAGCAATGTAGTTATCCGACTTGCAAATAAATCAATTTCAGGTGATCCAAAACATGCAGAAATTTTATGAAATACAGAAGTTGACACTTGCCATTCTAATTGCAGGTTCAAATGTCAGGAAAGTTTGTCAGCACTTACATTTTGTGCCCCTGGCACATGCGCTGCTGAAAGCCATATGTTTCGATCTATTGCCCAATACCAAATGGCTTTGGACAAACGATCACATTCAGTTGACTTAGAACCCCCCATGTCATTAATGTAACAAACAACTGTTGTATTATCGGACATGATTCGGATATGAATATTAGTCTGATCAGCTAGAAGAGCCAATAATGCCAATATATTTATATGCATTGCAGCTTCTGATGCTGTCCATATCCCATTTGTACACCTACCATCTTGAATTTTCGCCCCCATCTTAGTTGGGATGCATCTGTAAAAAGAACAGTGTTTGGGCAACTTGAAATTAGCGATCCAATTAAGGACGCTACTTCCCGAATTGTAATTGCTTTACCCTTATAACAAAATTGAATATAAAGTTTCGTTATTTTTTTCAGCTTTCCTGTCAGTTAGTTTGACAATCACAAGAATAGAATTTAAAACAAAACCTAAAAATTCAATAATTGTGTAGGCGTAATAATGGACTTTTCTGGATGAATCATAAACCCCACCGAAATCAGTAATTCAACAACATGTAGAGTGGCTTTCTCAGCCTCTGTGTAAGTATCCCCCAAATTGAGAGAATCGTCAATGTAACCTAGACATGAATGTCCAAATTTACTACGTAATGTCGCAAACACTGGCTTCAAAATTTTGGTAAATATCCTAGAACTGCTGGTAAGCCCCATAGGAAGACAAGTAAAAGCGTATAATTAATTGATCTCGCCACAAAAATTTTAGATATTTCTGATGCTCAGCTGCGATAGGAACGGAATAATATGCATCTTTGAGATCAATTGACGTCATAAAGCAACAAGGAGTCATAAGTCGTATTGCTGTTTCTAAAGTGTCCATTTTAAAATGATAGTAAGTTACCGACTTATTTAACGATTTCAAATTAAAAATAATGTGATGCGAGCCATCCTTTTTAGGCGTAGTGAAGATAGGAGAAATAAATTGAATACTTTCATTTTGAGAAGGTTTTATAATTTCCTTGTTCAAAAGCTTAGCAATTTCCACATCTATAATCGATTGCTCGGTATGAGTAAAATGACACTGTGGTCTCACTGCACTGGTATTAGCCAAAGGCTCAGTCTCAAAATCAATATGACAATGAGAAATTGCATCCAAGATAAATTGATCAGATGTTAATTTTTTCCACACATCGTAAAATTTTCTCAACCTGCCACCTGTAAATGTGGCTTGATTTTGAATTAAATTAATAATCGAATTTTGTATACATTGATGACTTACCTGATTTTCTACTTCTGGGACTGTCTCTGACTGTTCTGCTGATAATTTCGGGATTGACCTCGGCCGAACCCTAAAAAAGCACCTCTCGAGCCACGACCCCTGTAGTTATTCAAACGAGAAGGTACATAGGTTGAGCGTGCTCAACTGGTCGACGATACGGTTCCATATGTTGATTAGGCGTAACTTTCTTTGTGAGCTTGCTAGCTTTTGAAAGATCTTCCATCTCCTTATTTAGGTCATCCCCAAAAAGATATTGTGACACTGGAGTAGATAGATTACATAAAGCAGCATACTGTTTATTCAAATCCGAGCGAAGTAAATCTCGCCGTTTTAAATTTAATTCTCGATTTGCTGCTAGTGAAAGCACTATTGAATGTGTAAGCATCATTATACACTATCCTCAATATTCTGCTTGCTGGAAAGGTTATTACAAACCTGCAAGACGGCATACAGCGAAGACAATGACAATTGTTGAATTTTTTGAAATGTAGAATCGGTATTCTTAGTCTCTTGTTTAAGCTGTTGCCATATGGGTTTATTAATTTTTGGTGCGACTAAATTCTCGCAATTTTCTGGCTTTAAATACTTATCTTGGACTGGTTCAAGCTTTTCTTTTGTTAACTTCTCAGTCAACAATTCGCTGACGATTGTGGCAAGGTCATGGTCAATTGCCGATCCTGTTTGCCCACCCAGAGCGAACTGTTCTACAAAGGTTTTAAAAACTGTATTCTCGCTCAAATCTTTTTGCGATTGTGAACCCTTGTCTTTGGCAAAGTTTGCAATTTTATCAACGAGATTATCCTCGCTGTGTTCTGGCAATGGGTCAGGTTCAGGGACACTAACACTGTCGTCCTGAACTTCTTGATCTGCCGCTTGCTCAAAATCTTGATAAACCTGAGATATCGACTCATTAACGTGACTTAAAAGTTCAGTCTTAAAACTGAACATCATCTCAGTCATAGCTGCTTTAATGTCAGCTAAATCGTTCTTAATCGTAGGTGAAGTGATCTCCTCACTACTCCTAGCTTGTTTGGAAGCAGATTTATTCCCAGTTATTTGGCAATCTTTGTCGCACATGTTTAATTTAACGCTGTAAACAACAATACAGAATTCTGATTATGCACAATACACTGCACAATTATATTATAGGCCAAGACACGTCCTGGCTAAACATATATTTGTTATATCAAATATAAATGTAGTAAACCTGTATTAGTGCCGTTACACGTCACCAAGACACTATCTCAACAAACTTTAGTGGAAACTCTTCCAAAAAAGTAGGAAAAATTATCTTCGAATATAAATCAATACTTACTGTAAACACATGAATTGACAAGAAAATCAAATCAAGCAGACAACAAGCGAAGATAAAAAAAACATGTACGTCCTAACACCACGACAATAACAAATGCACTGACCCACGACGGTGAGTGCGCATCTCATGGTAACCCGGATGTGCTTAATGATTTGGTAGAATGTAAGAATGTTCTTGTAAATTCAAAGCAAAGAAAATAAACAAAAAATGGCTAGTATTTCGAACTTAATAATTTGCAAAATTTATGTTTTTAACTGTTGAACAAAATATCTCCACTGGAATCATGTAATTTGATACTTTCCCCACACCCCCTCGGGCGCTAAATTTTGGACGAGGCACGTGACCAGCCCATCCCAGGGTATTTCCTAAATACCCTGGGAACGAGGTTGCTACTAAGTACGATATTACACTTACCATGTTATGTTTCTTTATATTTGGCAATGTTTTGCCTTGTGACACAGCCAAAAATCCAGTAAAATTCTGTTATTTTTCTTCGCAAATTTTGAGAAACTTTTAAAACCAAGATGGCGGCGCAGCATTTTTTTCGCAAAGGCCTGGTCGCTAAGTGTTGAGCGCTTTTCGAAAAAAATACGCGACTTTGTGAAAAATCTCCTCTTAATCAACAAACTGTTATGTAGCAACATTTACATAAATTCATGTTTATTTAAAGAGAGTTAGGCTCCTATGCCTTCAACATGCCCTCCATTTCTGTCAATGCAAGTTTGACAGCGTCGAAGGATGCCTTGAACTGCTCATCGAACCATCGCTGGATCGTTCGCCAAAAGAGCAACTTCCTGACGAATGCGAGCTTGCAAGTCATTCAGGTCAATTGGAGGGCTGGTATAAACTTTGGATTTCAAATACCCCCAAAGGAAGAAGTCACAAGGTGTAAGATCAGGCGATCGAGGTAGCCACTCGAATCCCGCCAGCCGTTGCGTCAACGGTTCGGTCAACTGGTAGGGAACTTCGTCTAGGTTTCTGTGCAATGGGTGTTACGTCGTCTTTCATTGGTACAGTTTTCTGTATTTCTTCTCCGTTTCGCATTGCTTTTCCGATGCCTGTGAATCTATGTTGGTATCTGTCCAGGATTTTATCAAGTTCAGTTTTGTTCTGATCACGTGGTTGATCAGATTCCTGCTGTTTATTAAATGCTTTTACCGTTTTATTTGGGCGTTTAAGACTGCTTGTCACGTCAATCCGAGTGCTTCGAGTGTTTGTCAATCGATTAATGGCAGTGAGTCGATTTTTCCTTTGATAATGAGCATAGTTGTAGAAACAGTTCATGTTGCATTTGACATTTCAACATTTACTTCTCCGATTACCGGTAATTCCTCTTTAAGAGCTTTAAGTTTGATCTAAGTATTTTTAATCTACAATTCCGGTGCTTGTTCTCGAAGGTGCGTGAATTGGCTTTCGTCCATAATGTTTGTATCAGATCCACTGTCCGGTTCAGCTACGATATTTATTCAGTTGATTTGGATTGTGCATGTTTTCCATTAATCACCGTTATCTTGGCTTGTGTGGTGTGTTTTGAGGTAATTCATAAAACGTTTGTCATCACTTGAGCTGTAGTCACTACAGTTATTGCCAACGTGTCTTGTGCGTCTGGTTTGTCTCGCACTTGTCATCACCGCGATAATCTCTTTATCTCGAATGTTCTTCGAATCTGAGCGATATCTATTACTACCAAGGCGCTGTTTCTGGTTACGATTGTCTGTATCGTGTTTAGCTTTTCCAAAACTGACTCGCGTGTAGTGGTTTTTCTTTCCACAGTTGTCACATGAAACACCAATAGCAGGGCAAGTGGTGTGTTTCTTTGAATTCCCGCAGCGTCCACATGCATCATCTTTAGTTGGGTGTCGTGTAGGTATTCTAGTTTAATATTAATCTGACACTGCAATCGAGGAACGAAAAATTTGTTGGCTCGACCGGGATTTGAACTCGTATCTTCGGGTATCTAGACCGCCGCTCTACCTATTGAGCTATCGAGTCAACAGGGATTGGTAGCGAGTCTTATCCAATTTAAGTGCACAAAATATTTTCGTGACGACTTAACGCTTGTCTGTCAAGCCAACAAATTTTTCGTTGCTCGATTGCAGTGTCAGATTAATATGAAACTAGTTTTTCGTATCTCTGAGGATGGTTCTGAAATAGAATTGAAACACTGCGCGTCCTCTAAGACAAGCGTTAAGACTCGCTACCAATCCCTGTTGACTCGATAGCTCAATAGGTAGAGCGGCAGTCTAGATAGCCGAAGATGCGAGTTCAAATCCCGCTCGAGCCGACAAATTTTTCCTTGCTCGATTGCAGTGTCAGATTAATATGAAACTAGTTTTTCGTATCTCTTAGGATGGTTCTGAAATAGTGTAGGTATTCGTAAAGCCACTTTCTTTATTCTTTCATGCATGGTTTCTTTGTTGATTTTCTTGTTAATGGAGTCAGCTTGCTCTGTAGTGTGCTCGTCGATAGCTGTCTCGGTTAGGATTGTATCTCATGCCCAGTTGTCACATAAGCTTTGCTTCGAATTTTGTGATTGAGCGTTGTTCGTATCAAATGACTGTGTATAGCATCGTCTTCATGCCCTGTGTATTCACATTTCTTTGCAATGTTTTGTATCTTGGCGTAATATTCAGCTACTCTTTTGGAGCTTTGTTGTTTCAATTCGCTGAGTTGAAATCGAGCAAAGTCCTTGTTTTTCATAGGGAAAAAAATGATTGTCTATTTTGCGGCTAAGTAATTTATAAGCGTCGTCGTTTTCTGTGCCATTCAGATCCGGAAGCATTTCGTCAATATCGACTAAATCTTGTCCACTGTAAATTGGTAGTTCTTTTTCGTTTCAGGGTTGTTAATCCCGAAGAACCTAAACTGTCTCTCAATTTCCTTTATATATATTTTTGCCAATTTACTGCTGTATCGTTTGCTGTCTGTCTGCTTGATAAATGGTTTTATTGTGAGGTTTCTGTGTATTGTGGCATTATTGGAAGTTGTGCTGCTGCTTGATGGTGCATCAGTCATCCTGTACGCAATTATTGTTTGATCCCCGTCGCCGATGTTGTGTTATAAAGCACACATTTCATATAACATAAATAATCACTTTTTTATTACTCGGGTATATAATCATAGCTAACCACACTAACTAAGATACATGTGCTGGTTGATTGACATATGATAATTGATATATTAATAGATTAAGTTACTACAGGGGTCACCGTTCTTTTTTCAAGTTAAATTAGTTTAAAGCCAGAAAATCGGCCATATTGAGACACCATGATTACAATAGTAGGGAGTTTAACAACATTTTTCCTTTTCGTAATCCTCACTATTAGGGCAATGATACAGGCGAGTTTCGTGATCTTATCTTACAAAACAAAGAAATAATAGGGTTGAAACACAGCCGTGTATGCTATAACATTAAAACTGTAGGGAGCCATCTTAAAAACCAGCATTTTTGTGCCATTTGTAAGCATATATTTAATACCTTTACCTATTATTGTGCGTTCTTCCAAAAATTAGGTGAAAATTCAGATGTTCAAATTGCTATAACTTTTGACTGGCTGCACAGATTTTTATGAAATAAACAATAAAATGTTTCAAATGAGGACCTCTCTCAAAACACTATATATTTTGGAAGGCCCACAGTTAATGTGAAATTTTGACTGTTGTTTCATTTAGACTGTGAAAGTTTACACTCGCGGAGAATGGAACAGGAAGGTGGAGAAGGTAAGTTTTCCTTGATTGATTGTTGATTAGTCAGAAACCATTAGTACGGAAAAAATAAAGTCACTAAGCAGTCAGAGTAGAATACTAGTGATAAGTCCCTGAGTGTTCAATGCTGATGAATATGCATTAATACAATACAATAATTTATTGAACTCTCCCCAACGGGGTTTTTCGGAGCCAATTAACATTTACGAAAAATTATAAGATTTACTAACATGAAATTCTAACTAACTAATTACTGGTATGGATGTAAAAATTGTTAAAGGCCAAATGCTACTGTGAATGACTTCCTAAAAGATATTTATGTAATTTACGTTTAAAAATGTTAATTGATGAACTACATTTAATGTTCTCTGGAAGTTCGTTCCATAAGGAGACATGAACGGTAACAATCTCGTTCCCTGAGCCTGCGGTCCTTGGGAAGGAACCAAAGGCTCTGGGATAATCTGTTGCCGGAAGCCAAGAATCCTGGCAAAGACCGAACTGCGCATGCGTATGTCAGACAGTATTGTTTTGTATTCTCTGGTTTTGTAAAGGTTTAGTATTGTTTTGGTTTTGAAATATAAAAAATTAAAAATGTCTGCAGAAAGTATTAATTTATTTCATAGCGGATTGGAATAAGCGTTACAGCGACTAGGTAAGCAAAATATTGAGCTAAAGGAATGTCAGTAAGAAGCAGTTCTGAAGGCTGTAGTTGTTGATTGGAAGGACACATTTTGCGTCTTGCCTACTGGTTATGGAAAGTCACTCATATACCAGCTTGTTTCATTTGTGTTTGATGCCTACTTGGGTCGTGAAAACACGAATTCTACTGGTAACTCAGTAATTGTTATTTCGCCATTAAACACCTTAATGGTTGATCAGATTACTAAACTGAAAAAGCACATGGATGTTAGCGTTTTGAAGGCCAGCAGGGAAGCAACGCCACCAAAGCACAGCATGCGGTCGGAGAGGGGCTCAATTTATCATCAAATTGCTCATCCAAGTCAGATAATATTTGCTCACCCAGAAGCCTTATTGGAAGATAAGAAAATTTTTCAAAATATTTTGAAGTCAAAGTCATATCAAGACTCTGTTAAAGCTATTGTGATTGACGAAGCACATCTAGTGGAAGAATGGTAAGAATTTATTTTAATATAATACTGAGTTTTAAATTATAATATGGTTGAGGTGCAAAACATGTAAAAAAAAACCCATTCAGATTGAGCCTGAACTATAATTATTATATAGCAAGTTTCAAAGTTCACTTTTCCTATAGTTTTATTGATCGAGGGTATGTCAAGTTAGAGTCAAGAAATTAAAATTAAGCTGTCTCCCTCTGACTTTCCAGCGAGCATAGGTCTCTAGAGCACTGGAGTCAGCAGGGCACCCTTGGAGAGACTCCACAGACTCAATGGGTAAAAGAGTAGGAAGCATGATGATTGTGCATTGCAGCTGGACTTATTAACCATTAACATATCTTTTTCTTGTTTAGGAAAAGTTTTAGACCTTGTTATGCGAAAATTGGTATGCTGACAAGTATTTTTCCCAAAATCCCATTTTTGGCAATGACAGCAACTGCCACATTACAGATGAAAAAGGATATTACAACCAGTCTAGGATTGATCGATCCAAAACATATTGAGATAACCCCTGATCGTCCTAATATCTTCTTCAGCTCTTTGCCAAGACCTGATAGAGGGGATGATAAGCTTCAACCTATATTAACTCTCCTTATTGCAGAATTAAAGGTAAAACGGTTGGATTTCCCTCTGACATTAGTTTATGGCAACGTGCAAGTTATTGGAGAATGTTTTTTGTTTGCAAGCAATATGATGGGGCCTTGGCAATATGAACCAGTACAATCTAGCAAACATTCAGCTAACAGACTATTCACACAGTTTCATGCGCAATATCCAGAACATGAATGGGAAAGGATTATACAGGATCTGGTAAGTGGTCAGTCCAAGTTAAGGCTACTATTTGTCACTTGTGGCGTTTGGTATTGGTGTTGATTCCATTACATCCATAGGATTATTCATATTGGAGTCCCTCGTACAATTGAGGAATATTTTCAAGAAGCTGGTAGATGTGGACGAGATCGACTTCCAGCATATTCCACAATATATTACAACTCATATGATTTAGCATCATCTCGTAACATTTCACCCCACATGAAAGAGCTTGTAACTGTGGCAGATAAATGCAAAAGGGAAATAATTTTGGATTACTTTGGTTACAAAGTAGCAAATTGGATTAAACCAGAGCATACTTGCTGTGATTTTCATCAACAGAAATGTAGCTGTGATGACTGTGTTTTGAGTTCAGCTGCTGAAATGTTAGAAAATGCTGATTCTGGTGTATTGGATCCATCTGTTATTAATGATCCTGACTACATGGAAGCTGTGGAAGAAAGATCTCTTTCTCTTACAACTAAGCAAAAAGATTTGCTAAAGGGATACTTATTGATTTACAGGCAGTTCCTTCATGGCTATGGAAAGAGTTGTGTTGGAAGTGTTGGATTATCTACTGGGTTTAGTTTGGAGCTTGTTGACACAATTATTGCTCATGCCAGTGAGCTGACATCACTTGATGAGGTAATTATTTGATGACGACCATGCTTCTGTAATTTTTGAAATTTTAAGGAGTATCAAAAACACTTAAATTATAAACACAAACTTAGATAATAGGGAGCTTTAGCAGAGAGTACAAGATTTGCTCGCATGTGAGGAAATCACCATAGTCGTTCAAATGTTGCTTTTATAGTTGTGGACAAACAACGAAAGAAAAAGTCCATATAAACTAAATCTCCTGCAGGTTAAAATCCCCTACAAAATGTGCAAATAAGTCATAACATTAAAAACAAGCCAGATATTTAATACTAATAGATTATTTGTGCCTGATAAATGCTACATGCAAATTATTTTTGAAAAACAAAAAAGGCCAGCTTTCTTTGTTTTTTTGAAAAGTCGTAGTCAGGACTACGAGATTTCTCCACAATTTTGTACTCAGATGGGCAACAGCTATGACTTTTTCGCGTCAGTACGGTATGGCGTAAGCATACAGCATGCGTTTCGCTTGACAAACCTCGTACTCATACTGACATACTTGTAGTCTCTGCTAAAACTCCTTAATAATACAATATAGATTGACAGATGGGCATACTGTATATGCCTGGGTATATGTCAGGCAATTCTTGGGTTTGATTACAGCATTTTGCAGTTAATCTAGGGGGGGGGGTCAACCTAAAATGTATTCATGTTTATGCTGTATTGGAGTGAGCAAACGATACAAAATTGCATGTATTTGCCACCAAACACAAGGCCAACAAATACAGTGAACAATTATTTCACTCTGATGACTGTGTCTCGAGTTACCCTCCCCCTCCTGTCAAATTTATGATGTCATATGAAATCCAAGAATTGTGGTATATTGATCATTCTTGATATTTTTAACCATTAAGATGCAATTCAAGGCCATATAATTTTACTCAGTTATTAAATGAAGAGTTTTGTGTAAGCTTATATAGGCAGTTGCAATATATCGATATTTTCGATAAATATCGAAAGTTGTAACTAATCAACTTAATCTCTGATTATTCGGCAATTATTGTTTTTGTCGGTGAAGTTTAGACACTTATTTATGATACTAGGAGTTACTATCGCAAGGAAAGTGCTGCCTTTTTTGCCACATGAACTGAATGCAAAATCACTCTAAAGGGGAGTTTACTTTTGACCCAATGAACTTATTCTTAAATTGCGTGCACGGAACATGAGTAAATAACCAACATGAAAAAGTTGCCATTGGGTCAAAAGTGGATAAACGGCATACCCATTAGCTGACAACGCACCCCACTTTAGTATTAACTCTGTCTCACGCCAGACAAATTTACACTCTGCAACGCCAGACAATTTTACTTGTCAGTTGTAGAGTACTGTCAGTATCTGCTAATGTCTCTTATTAACAGCCATTGGCTGGCAATGCGCCATACTTTAGTAGTTACTGTCTATCCACTACCTGTAGGAAGCAATTTTGTATTGGGGGAGCTGATTAGTCAGGGGCGATAATTAGGTAATTATATCCCTCTCAAACTTCACAGATTATCGCTAGTTTACAAGTTATTTTTTTTGGGGGGGGGGGCGGGGCTGAAGACCCCAGACCCCCGGTTGCTACGGCCCTACTATCAACGCCAGACAATTTTACTCGTCAGTGCCAGTAAACGACTTAATTTCTCGTCACCCCAATTTAAATTTTTACGATTTTTGTTGTTTCTAATTGTAGATTTTAACTTTAAAATATAGATTTTAATTCTGAAAATCAAGATTAAGATATTACAATTTATATTTAAAAAATCTCAATTTACGAAAACATTACTGAAATGTTTCATGTTTGATCAGTAATACCCCCCGCCCCAATCTTGATCCATCCGTCACTGGGCCTGGGCCTCATCAGACGTTGCTCATTCGTCGTCCTTTTCAAGACCCCAGCACGTCGCTGGAGTCAATATGAGTAAAATACTCCTTGTATTAAAGCGCTTTCGTGTAGGAAGTTTCGTTTGAATAAGGCGAGTAGAAATATTTATTTTGAATTTTTCAAAATATAGGGTTTTTACTCGCACACGTGCGCCACGTGTATGCTTGGCCATATATAGCCCGATGCACGTGCAAACCCATCCTCGTTCCCAGGGCTTCTCGGCTGCCTGTGTTGCCGTAAGGCAGCCGAGAAGCCCTGGGAACGAGGATGGTGCAAACCATGCCACTGGGAGTACTTTGACCTGTAGAATCGATTTCCGGTTTTTCCAACCCCCTAGGATGTAAACAGCTGTTTTGATGTACGTTTCACGGGCCGCGCTAAAAATATAAATATTCTGTAAATACCGAAATAAAAGATGAAAATCTGAAGACACAAGCTTGAAAATAACACTGTGAATAGTGGTTTGGATTCTGGTTCGAATGAGACTATTACGAAAAAGATATGTCCAAAGGGGCCGAAGTTATGTTCGGCGAAATGTATGGCTAGTTTACATTGTTCGTTTATATATAATGAAATATGATACCATACCTTACTTGTTAAAATTCGCGTCGTACTATTATTGTATTAATATTAGGCAAATGAGAACCATGCAATAAGTGTTTTAGTTCTTGTTATTTTAAACGCACGCTTTATCTTTACTACCACAACGTTTTTCGCGCGGATTATATTTCGCGCAGTGCTAAAATTTGCTCACCCAGCGCTGCGCGAATTCTAGTACTGCGCGAATTTTAATACTGTAAGACATATTGTGCCATTGTGGACATTTGACTAATGTCAAAATAAAATTATAATGACAATACATTACTCGACTTTGAACAAACAATAGTTTATAAATTCTTAAACTCTTTCATATACATAGTAGCCAGCGATTTGTAGTCGGTAGCCATAAGTAGGTAGCTGGTAGCATGAACCCAGGCTGTTACCCTCGATATTTGCAACTTTATTAAACCGGTTCATCACATCGATAAATAAACACTAAGTATATGAACTAAACATACAGATATTACTACTTTATGTACTGAAAATTTCGGGTGAAACACTTAAAAGACACATATTTGAGTAGCCTGCTCGCATCATTGAAGAAAATTTTGTTGAACAACCCCCTCATTTTACAAACCAACTTGAATACTTAATGAGCCCCCTGGAATGCCGAAATCTCCACCGAGTGAAAATCGCTATTCGACTATACATAACTCGGCTGCGGGGACTGGACACGAAAAAGCAAGAACGTCATGTAACGTTAAGAATAGTGTGCTGCCGAGCTGAGGCTCGGCAGCAATAAGTGCGTAGGCAACTGAAATTAAAAGCTGAGTTGGAGATGACAAATAAACCGTTGTTAATAAATGTTTGAGACGTACCATGACTGGTTTCATGCACTTCTTTTTAACTGTTTGTGATGCATATACATGCAAGTTGACTAAATTATGTTTTCTCATTTGCATAATTCATAACTCTATTTTTTTTGGTATCAATATATTGATTTTTTTCAATATCGCAACTACCTAAGTGTATAATGGGTTAAATATTGGTTATTATCAAGGTGGCACAACCAGGCTTTGCAAGAACATAGAACCTTATTAACCCACATCTGCTAGTAAAATTGTGTGGCACTAGAGCAAGGGTTAGGGTTAGTGAACAGACGTGTGTTTTAGTGCTCCGCTTGTATTTATTATAAAAGTCTACTGAAAGTCTACAGATAATTATTTATTGTGAAGCTAGGACAAATGGATCCGAAGCAAAGTCTATTGCACAATCTAGATGTCAACACTAAAGGCAAAGTGATTTGGACCTCATCATATGAGCTCTTGCAACAATTTGTAGAAGGTTTGAATTTATGCGATGGAGAATGGTCTTCCCCTGGTGGCGATGGCAAACTCTTTGAATATGATGATACATCCATTCGGTGGTATGTAAAGACACAAACAATCACAGTCAGTAGGAAAAACAAGAACTGGATCGAAAAGAAACTAAAATCTTTAGCCTCTATATCAAAGAAAATCGTTCATAATACCAAATGCCGCGGGGCGCTCGGTCGTCCTGAAGCGGATGCAAATCCTGCTTGTATAGTTGCAGAAGATCCCTTAGAGATCCTTAAAAACTTTCTTAACAATAAACTGCAAGACCTAGCAAAAGAATTCAGTGCTAACATGTCAGCTGTAAACAGTACATTGTTGGAGCACTCGAATAGACTTGAACAACTTAAAAATCAAGAGTCGGATAGCGAGGCGATCAGATTGAAAAACGAAAATCTTGAACCTAAAAAGGAAAATGGGTGCTTGACGGAACAGATAAATAATTTGAGTTGCACTCTAACTGACCTTCAAGATAAAGTGAAGCAAGCGGAAGAAGAGAAAGCCAGTCTAATTACAGCTATCTGGCTATTAAACAAAGAATTAGTTGTCAACCAACCATTAAATAGTAGCGAGTCAACTGGAGAGAAAATTAATTACGACGAAGCTGACGACTGTCAACGTTGTCAACAACTGAGTAGAGCCTATCCGGATATTCCAACCCAAAATAGATATTCTACACTAGCGATATCTGGACCGCAAGTTATCGAAGAGACTGTCGAAGCCATTCAGAGGCAAGCCAGTGGGCAAGGATCGCAAGCTATCGAAGTAGAAGAGCCTGTCGAAGCTATCCAGAGCCAAGCCAGTGGACAAGGTCAAACATCAACATCAACACAAGACGTCGATAAGTCGAGCGATAAACCGAAATCAGTTTTGATTATTGGAGACTCCATAATTAAGCACATAGACCCCCGAAAACTCTCCAGGTAAAAGAGTTGAAGAAATACATGATGAAATAGACAATATACAAATGAACGATGAACTATCATATGTAATTATTCATGTAGGTACGAATAATCTATCATCCGAAAGCGTAGACTCATGTGTTCGAAAAATACAAAAGCTGGCTTTGAAGACTCGCAGAAAATTTCAAAATTCAAAGATTGGCATCTCCAGCATTATACATAGAGATGATATCAAAGTTATCTGCAGTCAATGTAAAGTTAAAGGAGATGGCTAACAATGATGACTTTGTTTTTATTGACAATTTGCGTATTGATGTAACATGCCTCAACGGCAGCAAACTACATTTGAACGCAAAGGGATCGGCTTATTTAGCCAATAATTTTATAAAATTTATTAGGCCATTGGGAAAACGAGCGAAGCTGCAAACAGGTTTTTTAAACCCAATACATCAGCTGGGACAACTACTAACCCAGCTAACAACCCAACCAACGACAATTCCACTATACAAGAAACCTCGCCGTTAGATGTTGGGAATGACAATTCAGGTAAAGCATGCCGTGGTCCAACAATGGGTGAGTTTGATTCTGCATTGCATTGCATCGCTAGATTAAAAGGCCTAAAAATTGCTAGTATAAATGTCAATAGCTTATTGAAACACATTGAGGAAATTAGGCATCTGTTATTTAAATTTCCCTTAGATATTTTTGCTATTAATGAATCCAAAATAGATGATTCTGTAATGAATGGGGAAATAAGTATCCCTGGTTTTAACTTGATAAGAAAGGACCGTAATAGGGCAGGAGGCGGTGTGGTGTTGTATATCAGAGACAACCTATCCTATTTGGATAGGAATGACTTGGTGCCCGATCGTCTTGAGATGCTGTGTGCTGAAATCACTCGCCCCTTTAGCAAGTCGCTTTTTGTCTGCACATGGTATAGGCCTCCGAAGTCAAACTTGAGCTTATTTAATGATTGTGATGTATTTTTTCAAAAATGCAAGTCTGAAAATAAGGAATTGATTATAATTGGTGATATTAACTGCAATGTTATGAAAACCTCACCAGATGCCCATACACGACAATTAAACTTTTTGTGTTCTCTTTATCAACTTGACCAATTAATTAATAAACCTACAAGAGAGACCAACACCTTGGCGACCTTGATTGATTTGGTCTTAACTAATGCTAAAGAAAACATTTGGACGTCTGGTGTAATAGATCTGGGGATGTCTGACCATAGTTTGATTTATGTGGTCAGGAAGTTCACCCTTCCAAAACTTAAACCTAATGTGAAAGAAGTTAGGGATTATAAACATTTTAATGCTGAATATTTTATTGGGGATTTAACCAGAATGCCTTGGCATGTAATTAATCAATATAATAATCCCAACGAAGGCTGGAGGGTATGGAAATCTTTCTTTAATGAGATATTAAATATACATGCGCCGATTCGACATAAGCGAGTAAAGGGGAACTCGGTCCCATGGATTACCCCGGAAATTAAATGTATGATGAGAAACAGAGACTATCATAAAAAATATGCAATAAAACATTCCTCACAGCCACATTGGGAAAGTTTTCAATTTCTGCGGAATAAAGTGAATGCTGAAATGCGAAATGTAAAATCAAAATATTTTCATGATAAAAACACTGATTGCTCTGTAATGAATGACCCTAAAAAGACTTGGAAATTAATTAATTCATTATTGGGAAAGAATAACAAATCCAACAATGTGAATGAGCTGCTGGTTGACAGCACGTTAGTTTCGGATCCTAAATCTATTGCAGATGCATTTAATGACTATTTCATTAGTATTGGGTCGAGGCTAGCAGCAGAATATGTAGACGAGTCCTGTAATGTTGATAATCAGCCCATAAACTATAATATTAATCAATCCTCAGATACTTTTCTAAAGTATCTCCAATATCCGTTGATAGTGTTGCCTCGACCCTAAGAGGCCTAAAAGCATGTAAAGCAACAGGTCTTGATAAAATTCCTGCTAAAATTCTAAAATTATCTGCAAACATAATTGCACCCTCGTTGACATTCATCTTCAATCTGTCGCTTGCAACAGGCATATATATAGATGAATGGATGCGTGCTCGTGTTACGCCAATATTTAAATCCGGGGATAAAAGACAATGTGAGAACTATCGGCCTATTTCAATTTTACCGGTGGTGAGTAAAGCCTTTGAGAAGGAAGTTTTCCGTCAAGTATATAGATACTTGTCTGAAAGCTCTCTCCTGTCAAAGTTTCAATCTGGATTTCGTCCAAAGCATTCAACTGTAACTGCCCTCATCCAAATGTGTGATGAGTGGCTAGAAAATATGGACAATGGAAAGTTAAATGGGGTTGTGTTCATAGATATCAAAAAGGCATTTGACTCTATAAACCATCGCATTTTGTTAAATAAAACGAATGAGCAATTTGGAATTTTTGGCGTAGAATTAAAATGGTTTGAGTCATATTTAACAAATAGAGAACAGCAATGTAATGTTAATGGAGAATTATCTAGTAATAAAATTATCACCTGTGGAGTGCCCCAGGGATCTATACTGGGACCACTGCTGTTCCTATTGTATATTAATGATTTGCCCGATTGTTTGAAATCAACTAATCCATGCATGTACGCGGATGATACTCAAATCTTTTCATCTTCCTACGATGCAAATGAACTTGTTGTAAATTTAAATTCAGATCTTGCCCATGTCTGTAACTGGCTTAAAGAAAATAGGCTGCAGATGCATCCATCAAAATGTAAAATGATGTTTATTGGCTCCCCGTATAATCTTAATAATATAATGCGTGAGGAACCCGTTGTGGCTAATGCAAAACCCATATCACGAATTGCTACACAAATGTGCCTAGGAGTAAAACTAGATGAAACCCTTAATTGGGATAGTCACATTGAAATGATATGCAAGAAGGGGAGCGCTGCTATTGGCGCTATGAAACGTATAAAGCCCTTTGTTCCAATGCATACCTTAGAATCGATTTATAAAAGTCTTGTGCAGCCCTACTTTGATTATTGTGCCCCCCTTTGGGACACTTGTGGTAAGTTGCTAAGAGACAAGTTGCAAAGATTTCAGTCTCGTGCAGCAAGAGTCCTAACGGGTGCTAATTATGATACTCGCTCAGCTGATCTTCTCAACATGCTTTCTTGGGATACATTTGAAAATAGGCGGTCTGGTGCTAAGTCAGTATTAATGTATAAAATACTTAACGACCACACTGCGCCAGGTCTCCGGGGGTCATTCGTGAGAAGAGAAATAGATCAAACTAATTATCATCTTCGAAACACAGCAACTGATCTAACAATTCCTAAACCGAAACGAGAATTTCTTAGAAAAAGTTTTAAATATAGCGGCGCTATGCTCTGGAATCAACTCCCAAACGAAGCAAAATTGGCCGAGTCGCCTCATTCGTTTAAATCAATTGTTGGACAGCGACATGCTTCCTAATTATTTGTATATAGTAACGTGTACAGTATGTGTGTACTAATATTTAGTTTAAATTTTCCTTTTAATGATTTTTAAGCTCTAATAGACACGCCCCCCATGGAAACCAGCCTAGAGTTGATGGGGCTGTCGTGTTCTTCTTTCTGTTAATTTTAAATAAAGTATTACCTACCTACCTACCTACAGAGTAACTGTAAAATAATAAATAGACTTTATTATTTTACTCAATCTGTATAATGCCAGACAATTTTACTGTCAAGGGGAGAGTGAAGAATAATATCCAAATGTAATGCGATATTTTATAACTCACTCTGGTTTTTAGTGCAAAGTTGCTTTGCACTGTTGTTATGAGGTTAAATTCAATTCAGTGACCGATCAATGGATGGATGGATGGATGGATGGATCGAGTAAACAATCCGGGGGGAGCTTGCAATTGATTTTTTATCACGTTTTCTAGAGCTTTGCGACTTTCGGCCAACTAATCGTTCATAACTGTTTGTAGATTATAACAATCTATAGTTATATTCATGATGGTACATGTTCTTACTTATTTATCCGACATTTAGAGAAGTTATAACCAAATTACTGTTGCATTTCAAGCACTTGTTATTATATGAATGCCCCCCTGCAACATAAATACATGTGCATAATACACATGCCCTCATATGTTATCATTTTACAATGGCGGACATGGACGAGCGGTGACTATTGAGCGGCGGTGTGAAATCGTGTAGACTAGAGTGTATTACATCCGAGGTTGATAGTATTATAGCACAGTGGTTTATCTATGAAAGATGCGGAGCAATGTATATATGAATAAGTGCCAGTGTATAGTTTTGATATAAAATTATAAGTCAGCAGACAGCAGCTGATTTATGTCAGCTATCTTATTCTTGTATTATTACATCACGATATAACCCGCGGAAAGGAGGGCCGGGACCGCTATATCAGCTAGATTATTCTTGTTTTATTATATTGTGATAGAGTTAGGTTTACATGGCCCAATAAATAGTAAATAAAATAAAATTGACAAGTAAAGTTATATTTAGCACGCTACACATTCTCCTGTCGGCCGCCAGTTGGTCCGTATATTAGGATCAAAAACTGCGTTTTAAAACCTTCAAAATAAAATATTTTAGCTCAATATACTATCAAAATGAGGAGAAAAGTGAGACGAATCCACTGGCATACGGCCGATTTCATTCCGAAGTTATCAAGGATCAAACGGACTGCATTTTTTATTAGTTTAATAATTTTGAGCGATTTGTCAACAATACAATTTCGCTTATTAAAACTGCACATTAAAACTGCACATTAAAACCTTCAAAATATAATATTTTGCGCTCAAACTACTAACAAAATAAAGAGAAAAGTGAGACGAATCCACTGGTATACGGCCGAAAAAGAGAAAACTAACAATACGAAAGTCATCAAGGTCAAATGTATTGCATTTTTATTTAATTAATAGTTTAATAATTTTGAGCGATTTGTGAACAATACAATTTCGCTTCTTTCAAAGGCCATAAATCGCTAGAATACTGTTGTTTAGTAATACATTTGACGTCTGTGAGTATAATTTCTTATGCTGAATCGAACGGTGGTATTTCTGTCCTTATTAGGCACATAAAACCAAAGATAAGGCACAGCAAAAAGTCAATTGTGAGAGTCCGAGATTAATTCGAAAGAAAACATTCCTCGAAAAAAGGAATTCGGAAAACGTGAAGGATTATTTTGAGCGGCTCGTCTTTAAAAGGCCATAAATCGCAAGAATAGAAATCAATTTTGAAATCAATTTTCCATCCGTAAATACAAGTTTTCACGCTGATTCGAACAGTAGTATTTTTGTCTTTGTTTGACGCATAAAACCAGAGATAAAGCCTAGCAAGTAGTCGATCTTGAGAGTACAAGATTAATAACAATTAATAAATTCCGAGCACGTGCAAGGAATTTTTAGTAGGCGACTAAGGAAACGTATTGATGCGAACACACTGTAAAGATCTGGACTAAAGCCACCATTTAAGGAATTAAGCCGTGGAAAATTATCCATGCGAAAACAACAAAATTTACTGTCGTGGCTTGTAATATATAAAAACAAACGCCAAACAACTTCCTTATAGATGCATCAATCCTATCAGTTCATACATTAATCATTATGCGAATCAACGTAAATCTTAATTATCATTTGTCATATCAACTTTGCACTATCCTTGGGATCTCCTGTTATACTGATATCCTGTACTATTTCAAACAAAGTGAAAAGTCCTAACAACTAAGCATGGAAATAAAACAGAATTTAAGAGCTCTTTCTCTCTTCTCTAAATTTCATAGAATTGCATACCATATTTTCATTATTACCATGATAGGGGAATATTTCTGAACTTCACACACTGAAAACTATTGCCCTCAATGATACTCTACCTGGGATTCATTGTTGTGCACCAACATGCAGTGTTCTTCAACCGATCCCATTGGTATCACAGCACTGCACAAGATACACAAAATTACGGGTCCAGCCACTGCAGTGACAACGTGCTGCAAAATGAAGCCTGATTTTTGTGTAATGCAATGCAATGCAATGTATTATCATAACATGTTCATTTGTTTAATGTAGTATTGCCCTCTAAAAACGTGTATAATTTCCTCTTCCCATTAATATGTACAGTAGGCTATTAATGGCTATAAGCAACTTGTCTCGCAATGGCTTCATTTTTAAAATATTTAGCCATTGCACGACCAGGGGATGTTACAGTATGCAATTTGTCTTGCAACTTCACTCGCAATCATGAGCGATATGGGCTAATACTTAATAACGAGTTTTTATTGGCTGATCAACAAAATCATTGTTGCCAGAGGGGTTTTACACTGTTAAATTTCTTCAAAATGCGTTGCCGCAATCGTTGCGAAAAGCAAAACCTGCTTCTACTTTGTGCAACGCAACTGATGCAGCAAAAATATTGCACAACTTGATGACTGCGAGGCATGTTACACTAGGAATTTTGTGTTGCAACAAAATTCTGGGACAAGTTGCGATACAAGTTGCACAGTGTAACAACGCCTTAAGACCCGGTCACACTATTGTGTATCACACTAATATCACTCATGCGCCTGCAGTATTCGCTGACAAACTCTAGGGGTACGTTAGACATAGGTTTTATACGTTTCAAGCACGGTCACGTATGATGGCATATGGCGAGGCAGAACATTTTTTAAGCATGCTCAAAAATTTTGTGTGTATCGGACGTATGCTTTATACAATAAGTATACTCTAGGCACACATTGAATACGCTAGAAGTATGCTAGATGGTACTCAAACACAGGCATTTCAAAGGATTCTTGTGTGTATGAAAATTATTTAATTAATTTCCATACGTTTCTCATACGTTTCTCTCGTACACAATAGTGTGACAGGGCCTTTATGGTTCTAGGTTTAATTTTTGAAAGTTTAAAATAGTGGCATGAATGTAGTTGCCTATTACTACTAAAACTCTGAAGATAAACTAATTAATTTAACACAATATTGTTGTTACTCTGTAAAATTACAATCATTATAAAATAATAGGTCAATGTCAATGATCAATAGACCTTTCCGGTAATTACGTCACAGCTAACACTGTTTTCAACTTAGTACCACCTTAAATGGAATGGACAGCGAAGCAGCATTTTGGATTTTGACCAACAAATGTGGAAATAAGCTTAAACACAAAATTGAGGCTGAGGGGTCATGCAATTCTTTTTATGCATGTGTTGACGAAGGATGTAATCTGCATCTCTGTCCATAGCTCATGATAAACAAACTTGAAATCCATTCCATTTAAGGTGGTCCTAAGTTGAAAACAGTGTAGTTGTGACATAATTACCGGAAAGGTCTATTGAGGATTAGTATAAATTTCCAGGTGACTAATAATTTTTCTGCATTCTGATTGGCCAAGATTCACTGTCTCTGAAGTCAAGTGATAGTCACTAGTCTGGTCAGTGACTATAGCTTTTTGCTTTTTTTCAAAATGGCTGCTCGTTTTGCCGTAGAAACAGAAGAGGAAATATAGCATTCCAAAAGAAAAAAAAAGCTACAAAATATGGTTTTGAAATATTTCAAGGTAAAATATTAAACTTTACTTGCTTTTATTTCGTCAGTGCAAATAAAAACGTTTTTATAGACATAATTTACATGGTGCCACTTAAAATTATAATAAGAGCCAAACTAGTAAGTATGAATACTTATTAGTATGTATGTAACAAACAACCAAACATGTGCTCAAGGCTCATTTTACTTCGCCTAGGAATCAGAGATTTTTATGCCTAAAACACCATAAATTTCGTCAACATTATAAATAAATACCATTTACATTTGTCAATTTCAGTATAAAAGGATTATTTCAATACAAAAAAACGATATGAGGACATACTTGGTCATACTAGTGAAGCTATACTAAATACAAATAACGCCATGGCAACGGCAAAACATTGAAATAGAAATTGTCTAAAAATGATAAAAATACTTCCCTTGAAACTCCAGACACAACTCCCAATGCCAGGTTGAGATACTTGTCTTCATACGAAGACATTCCATCATTACTAGCACGATCAATTTGCAAAATAAAGCCAAAAACGTCTTCAGAATGCGATTCAAACAAAACTACAACACAATACATTACAACGCTCGTGCGCGATAATCAGGAAAATTGCTCTAAAAGGTTTGTTTTTCTGCCTAAGCCAATCAAAATCCGTATCTAGGGTAAACAAACACTCTGGAAGTGATTTCTTGCAGTCTTTTACCAGGAAACTGTAATGCTTTACCAAGAACTTAGCATCCAAAGTTGGCCGAAGACTTTCCGACCACGAGAATCGCCATAATAGGCTTAGCTTTGCGAGCTATAGAATGCAAGATGGCGATTCTTTTGTGGTGTATTTGCCTTTATTATACGTTAAAAAGAAGCAAAAATACAAGCATTTGAATCAGGCGGAACATTCAAAATGCAACAGCAAAATTGATAATGCGTCATTTGCATAAATGTCACCGCATTGATCATTTCAAGGTAAGAAATTCGCTTGAAATTGAGCGAGAAACAATAAAATTATATGAATATTTCGGAATATATAGTATCAATCAAGTGGAATTTTTTTGTGGTATTTTCGTATTTCTACTGCAAATACTCAAGGAGTTCTTTAATATTAAATCTTCCCGTCATATACATCAGAAATTAATATTGGCGGATTGAATTGAGTTAGAAAATTGGAATTCCATCAAGGTTTATGATTTACAATTTTCCTGCTACACAAGTTTATTTCTATGATCTTGGAATGTGCGAGAACGGAGAAGCGCATGAAGCCTTCACAAGTATTTTACTTCTTGGAATTGCTATCTGCTCTGACTCTTAATTAACTGCTCAAATAAAAACGGAAAATGAAAATTATTTCAAATTATTTTTGCCTTAACATACCCATAACAAAGTGATGCATTCCATTCAACCCTAAACTTTTATAAAATTAGCATCTCAATAACTTGTTTTCGTCATTAAGCAAATTCCAACATAGTTGAGTCATGCCATTAGTTATCATAATTTGAATTAAACTGACACCTAAATTTCCATGCACATTCAATTGCAAATCATTTCAAAACTTCTTCTCTTTGTTTCTTTTTGTGAATTTTAGGGGGTCCAATTCCGTGGAAGGGGATACATATCAGCTAGTGGATATGTACCATAGGGGTCCGAATCCGTTAGCTGATATGGACTGGGGGGTCCATATCCGCAGGGAGTCCAAATCCGCTGTGACACCGAGGGGTCCATTTTGAGGGGGGTCCAAATCTGCTGGGACACCGGTGCGGATACACATTCGATCTTTATTTTTCTTTATTTTACTTTCCTTATTTTTCTTTCTACTGACCTCATCCATAGTGGGGGTGGCAGTATTAAATGGGATGGCCCTTTGCATGGAACACTTGGTGTAGTTTTGTTCATTGAACTGAACTGCTTCAAAACCATTCAAACAAAACCATTAAAAGAGAAATGAAGTCAGTCAAGTCAATCCTCAGGAAAGTGATCTTGACAGTGATGATCAAAATTACATGGATGGAAATGTCATGGATCCACTTTATGGGGAAGAAGCAGATGAAACAAATTCTTCACACGATGAAGAGGAGTTCTCAGAAGAAAAATTTCAGTAAGTTTTCAATCTTCAAGAGTTGCTGGGCTGACAGCATTGAAAAGTTATGCGAATGTTCAATGGTGTTTCTCACATCTCACACTAAATGGTCTAGACATCACCTAACAAAGTTGGAAAAAGCATGTAAATATTTTTCTGTGATATGCCAAAAACTGCAGGATTTAGGACTAGGATTTAGAACAAGGATTTAGCACTTTTCTTGTCTAATCTAATATTTTTTCTATTGCAGGTTACCGGTGATAGATGGAAATATCCGAATAGAGCCAAAGTAGATAGTATTCTGGACACAGCTCCTTTTACAGTTTGGTTTCTGTTGGTCATGTAAGTCTGAAAATCCCCTGGTTAAGTCCTGCAATGTTGGTACCGAGGTTGTTGTGACCACAATGTGCAGTAACCCAACATGTAAAGATGTTTTCACTTGACATAGCCAACCTACAATTCCCAGGTTGGAAGTCCTGCTGGAAATTTCTTACTGTCTATGGCAATTTTACTTGGTGGTGGATCAATAACAAAAGTTAGACAAGTCATTCCTCATATGGGCCTGGCATGTACTTCCTTAAATACATACTTCCGGCACCAGAGAGTGAGTGAAATTCTGTTTCTACACATAATATTTCTGCTAAGTTTTTAACTGGAATTAGATTATTTGAGAAAAAGGTCTTTCTTGGGACCATTGTTTGTTCTCTACTTACACTATAAGATTGGTTAATTTTCCCCCCAGACATTGTTATTTCCAACAATCCACATACAATGGAAGAAATACCAGGCAAAACTACTGGATAAAGCAAAGTCAGTAAAGGATGGTATAGTTATATCAGGAGATGGACGCCATGATATTATGGGCCATTCTGCTAAATTCTGCGCCTACACAATATTCTGCTGTACCTTTGCCAAAATTATCCATTTTGAGCTTGTGCAGGTGAGCAATAATATATGTATGCTGTACGATTTTGGTTCCAATATGTATATTCCTATAGGAATTCTATTCCCATAGGAAATTCCTACAGGAATTCCATTCCTATAAGATCCTATAGGACTTTTTCATAAGGGTGTGTATATATATATATGCGAAGGTCACAGTTTCAAATCCCAGCCGCAGTCAAGTAGAATTTTCTGCTTGCCCAGTTTTGTATACACTCGTCTGAAAACAACTAAAAAAACTGCTACATAACGTTACACGAGTGGAATCGTAAACATGGGAAACCACTACATATATATATATATATACACCCTGAGTACTGTCTTATTGAAAAAACAAGGAACTGGAATATGTACTAAAAGTCCACAGACATACTATCGATGTTCATGTGCACACTATATAATATATATTTTCTTACTGTTATTTCTATATGCATGTGTCATGTTATCGAGCCATTCCACTTATGATTACAATTTACAGTAATTTACAATAGACACACTATTGGCTGCTAGGCAAATGTTCTTTGTTTGTCCTTGAGTATATTACAAGTCCTTTCCTGGTACTTCTTTGCGGTTTTACTCAATACAAAACTGAAATACTCCAGTATGTAGACCTCATGTAGTGATGTTGCAAATGCAATCCACAAACTGGATCAAGGTCAAAGTACAATGCAAAAACTCCTGTTCTATAACTGATTTGTCAGTTGTTCCATCAAACATTATGCTATAAACGTTGGCTTTAGAATATCCTTTGATAACTCGGTTTGAAGCTGCTTTGCTTGGTAAGATATCAATTCAGTTGTAGCAGTTCTGTTGCAGTAAACTGAGAAATGTGGCACTCCATGTCGTTTCTCAAGATTTTATCATATTTTGCTAATGGCAACTCTTCTTTAACAATGAAATATGACATATCAAATTTTCTCTTAAGGTCCTCAACTTGAGTTGCGTTGAGTTTAAATTCCAGTGTAGGCTGGTTTTTGAAAGGCTGTGATTTCTGCCCATTCTCTACATGGAATAAGCTTAAGGGCAATCTTGTGCAAATCAGAATTTGCAAGACCAATAAAATTAGTCAATCTAAAATTTGTGGAACCATTAATAAATGCTCTTGAAAAATTCTTTCTCTTCTCAATTGAGGATAGAAATTGAGTACAGACTTTGCACTTCAATACAGTACAATATTTCCCACTCCCAGCTTCTGTTTTTGAAGTATCATAATCTAGCCATGTATCTGCTTCATACTGTGCTAAGTCATTATGTTTCCATTTCTCTGCAGTTAAACAAGTTACCTTTCTCGTGACAGTGCTAACTAATAACTTTGGTATAGGTAGTGTCATATTGTTAGCATTTGAAATTTTAGGATTAGGTTTTGTGGACGTAACCAGATCATTCTTGTCTAGTTTAATAGTTTTAACTGTCTTGTTTACTTGGTGTTACAGCAGAGACAGAGGATGTGACAGGATGATCAGATAAAAAATGATGTTATTTTTCTCTTCACTGGCCTGTTCTCTGCTACCTCTCCCTTACTTTTCATCCCATCACTTGATTGCTTCTCCAGAGGGATGGGTGGAACGAAATGGTTAGGAGAATAACAGTTTTCTGATTTGGAACATGTATCACTTAATCATGACCACATGCTATAAACAGGAATTTGCTCCACATCAAAAGGGGAGATTATACCATGAAAGAAGTCTCTTACTGAGTTAGATTTCACATTAGGGGTCTTTGGGTAAACAGAAAAACAGGTCGCCTTAATACATTTGCAGAGCAAATACACTGAACAATCCGCTCCATTGCATTTTGCTCACAAGATGCTCCTGCCTCTGCTTTGATGGCCAGAGTCCAACTTCTAGACTGTTCCCATGCTGACATCCCATAATTTGTTATGCACGAGGTAAATAGTGTGATTTCATCAAAGTTATTGTGTTCCTTTAATTTCATAAAATGGTCAAATTTATGATGTTTGCATACAAATCACTGTTCAAATACAGCTCAATGCTAGTTAACAAGCGAAGAAGATGATAAAGTGAATCATCACCGACAAGGATGCACAATGCAGCATTAAAAAAGCAGTCACCATTTCTACTTGCTTTGCAAGCAAAGCCAGGATTTTTGTTTTCATTTGTTTCAACATAGATGTTGTCCGGTATTAATCTTTGGCCGACACCATCTTTTATGAATTTTCTTCGCTAATAAGATATAAGAGCTGCTTTCCCCTTTATCCAAATTATTGTCGAATTATACTTCTTGAGTAACGTATCACAAAACGATTCTTGTGCGAAGTCACCGAATGCATGCAAGTTAAACGGTGGGCTGTTGTCGCTATGGAGGTTTTGAGTAACACAGTGTGTGTTACGAAGATTTTCTTCAGTTTCTTTTTCGTCGCTTCGAATGTTGTGATCATAAATTCTACCTCTGGCTACCATTTAGAAATGGTCCACAGTCTACTTCCACAGTTGTCCAGGGTCTGCTTGGGAGCTTTGTCATCTTTGCTGGTTGTGTGTGCTTCATTTCAGTGGAGATTTAGCATTCAAAGCATTGCTTTACCATGTCTGCAATCTCCAAGTTAGTGTGGCGGATATGTGCATGGATGTTTCCGAAGAGGGTTAAAACCACCAAATTGTGCACAGTAGCATCTTTTTATGAGTAGAACAACATGCAAAAGTGGGGCCATCGTGAAACTGTGTTTTTAGAGAGTTACGATGCTATTAGCATTATTCGCCTATAAATTCTACTATAACAAAAAATGTGAAATTTTGAATTCAATCGCGACAAATATAACTTGTAATATAACAGAAAGCTTGTAAAAAACCACATAAAAGACTTTTAAACAGTTTTTTTATTATTCAAATGGTTATTGCTGTAAATTAGGCACATTATCTCGCTAAAAGTCCCTAATTAATTATTCGATGTTTGAAAATGCATTTTTAACAGTTTATAATTCGAAAACTATTTCAGAAATCAAAAAGCTGTCTACACATCTTATATGCAGTTTTTTATAAGCTTTCTGATGATGCAAGTCATATTTGTTGTAATTGAATACAAAATTTCACATTTTTTGGCTATAATAGAATTCAATAGAAGAAAATCACTAATCAGCCGTTTTCAGGAGTTAGCAGCAAAATAGCGATGGCCCCACTTCAAATATCTATTAAGCAAACAAAACTATATCAATTGCAAAAGTTTGATGCTTTTAACCTCAACGGGAACTACTGATCAATAATTTTACACATATCCGCCTCACTAAGTTCATTCCTGGCCACCAATACTAATCTTGAATCATTTGGTCTTAGTCCTAAGTGTCCTTGCTTGTGCACGATTCGTATGATTTTTTCTCTTAGATATCCTGGAGGCACGATCTTGTTCAGTCTGGGATGACATTTTCTGAATTGTACAGTTCTGCTTGTACGTCAATTACGGCTTTAGAATTGGGTCTTTCTTGTCCCAAACACCCGTTAGCATGGCATGCTTAAGATGCTGTAGCTGTGCATCTTGTGTGCAGTGTCAGTTGCGATTTTTTCTAGCAGTCACTGCTCTCATATGTTTCTGAACTGCAGTTCTTTTTCTATCTGGCAGGGCGTGTCTGGACATGTAATCAGTAATGTTTTTTTCCCCAGGAATATGGATTATTGTAAAGTCCAAATTCTGCATCTTCATAATTAGCCTTTCAATTCTAGGTGGCAACTTGGCTTGAGGGTTGTTGAAGAGTGGTAGGACTGGTTTATGGTCAGTTGCGAGTTGGAAATGCTTGCCCCCTAGTAGGTACATCTGTAAGCGTCATGTCATTTCTCAATAAGGTTTCTTGTTCTATCTGGGAATATCTGCTTTCTGTGTCAGTGAGTGTTCAACTTGCATAGTGTACGGGTTGGTAACCATACTGAGTTTTCTGGAAAAGTGCTCAACCCAGTCCCGTTGGGCTACCATCACAAATAACAAGTGTGTCTCACTCTGGGTAGTACAGTATTGGTACTGATGCAGATGTGATTCCCTTCTTGAGGTTGTCAAATGTGGTTTGGTGTTTGTTTGTCCATTCGAATTTCATGTTGTTTCTTGTCAATCACCATAGAGGTTCGCAATGGCTTGAGAAGTTGTTTATACAGGGTGTATCAAAATAAACGCAACTCATCTTTTGTGCTTAATAACTTTCGAATTACTATTTCTAGTTAAACGCTTTTAGGCTTACTTCAAAGCCTGTTCTTTTCTCTTTCAAACAAACTATTATCCTTGTCTCCAATGCTAGTAATAATTGCACAGGAAAAGATTTAGTAAAACCTATCATTTTTGTGGCTAGCCCGTTAAAAATGTTTGTAAGACTATGTGAAGTTTTGACGGAAGTTGTCGTCTTCACTTCGTAAACTATCGTGTGGAGTTGTTACGGAAATTGTCGTGTTTACTTCGGAAACTGTCGTTCATGCCATGAGGCGACGATATTTATGCCAAGGTATACTCAGTATTGCGAATATAAAAACATTCAGTATTTCATCACAAATACAGGTAAGCCAATTATTTTCCATCTCTTGTTGTTGAAAATTTTCATTTATAATATTAAAAACATCGCAATTTTGGTCTGCTCTGGTCAAAAATATTTGATCAGGCCCATATTTTTGCGTACATTCAAAAGTTGAACGAAGCCATTGTTGCTTGCACTGATCTTAGATCAGGCGTCTATGTGAGGTCCACGTATCAAATAGAAACTGAAATAGAAACTGAAATAGAAAATCAAATCAAACTTGCCATTGTGCAGTTAAACAAAACCAACCTTGCCATATTTGTGCAGGTATATTGTAATTATTAAAAGAGCAAACCCAGTTTTGGGATTCACACAACTGACCTGTCAAGTTACAGGTGAACGATTTACAAACTACAACACAAAACAACCTTCACTGTTGAACTTGACTGAAAAATATGGGTGTAGAGATTGAGATATATCGTTCAAGAATTGGTTCACATCATAATGTCACACAAGGAAGAATGTTAATGGCTCGACTGAAAGGTAAATTCTGGAATCAAATGTTGATGATGGTCTATTTAAAAGTATTTTATTTACCATGTCTTAAAAGTCTAGTGACTAAAACAGAAAAATATAATGAGGTGTGCATCTGGTATGCACAGATGGTATGTTATCATGTTCATGTACCATTACTATTAAGACTTTCAAATGATGTTGAGGAAAATCCAGGTCCTAGAAATATTAATGAAATAGTTGACCGTACTTATACAGTTCATGCCGACTTTCACCAAGGCGATCAATTAATGTTTAGATCAAATGCTGGAAAACAGTGTGTTGCCATGTCACTATGTTCTATTGTTTATAATGAAATTAAATCAGTTAATATTTGGGACACATCCATTATGAACCAAATTTTAGTTTATGGCAACAATTTATATGGTGTTATTAGTCAGAGTATAAACAAAGACTTTTTACTACTTACTGACGTACCAGAACTTGTCGATATTGATAGTGACACATTTTGTCTGGAATATAGTGAATCTTTTACAGGTGCATTATTCATGGCTGCCAATAATGATCCATATGTGACACTTGAGCATGCTATTAATGAAATATTTGTTACTACAAATTATAAAAGTTGTTTACTCACAATCGGCATGAATACTGTTGCCATTTTTATACCTTTTCCTGATGTCTTTAAAGTTTTTGACTCTCATTCACGAGATCATCATGGGATGCCATGTGCATCTGGTTATTGTGTTTTAATTTCAATTGAGGGAGTTAAACATCTTGCTGAATATTTTCAGTTAACATCAGGTTATTGTGGCCGAATGTGTTCTACACCATTTGAATTAAAGGGTGTTAAGTGTAATAAAAGACTTGACTTGTCAAGTACCAATAATGCAGAATTTAGATTAATCGAAAAACATGATATACACAAGTCAACTGAAATACAAAATAACAATGTAGGTCAAACAAATAATGATTTACTTGCAGAAAGGAAATCTACACTTGAAAAACACTGTCAATATATGAGAACTTGTAGAAAGGATGAATCCTCAGAGCAAAGGGAAAAAAGGTTAACTAAAATTAGATCATATAAACAATTAGGCAAAGGGACTAATGGTGAGTCAGTTGAAGAAAGAAATTCTAGACTTGAGAAACACCGTGAACGTATGAGAGTTCTTAGAAAGAATGAGTCCTCAGAGCAAAGGGAAAAAAGGTTAGCTAAAATGATATCACATATAAAACAAGTGGGCAAAGCCAAAGGGACTAATGATGAGTCAGTTGAAGAAAGAAATTTCAGACTTGAGAAACAACGCGAATATATGAGAGCTCGTAGAAAGAATGAGTCGGTTGAAGAAAGAAATTTCAGACTTGAGAAACAACGTGAATATGTGAGAGTTTATAGAAAGAATAAGTCATCAGAGCTAAAGGAAAAAGAGTTAAGTACCCATATTACTGTTGATATGACCCAGCTTATAAGAGATTTTCACAGCTCTATATCTTCAGGACCTTTATATGTATGTACTTGTTGTGATCAGTTGTGGTATAAACACAGTGTATGTCCTGCTGACCGAATAAGGTTGGTTAACCCAGATATAGTCAAATATCTACAAAACATTAAAAGTGTTGATAATATTGAGTGGCTTTGCAACACATGTAGCAATCACTTGAGAAAAAGAAAAGTACCACCATGTGCAATTGCAAATGGAATGAAATTTCCTATAAAACCAGCTTTCTTTGACCTTAATGAATTAGAATGTAGACTTATTGCTCCACGGTTAGCATTCCAAAAAATATTCCAAGCCCCCAGAGGTGGGCAACTCAAAATTACTGGCAATGTGGTTAATGTACCAGCAGATGTTAACAATACTGTAAGTATGCTTCCCAGATTATCACATGAAACTGGTACTATTAAAGTTCAATTGAAACGGCGATTGCAATATAAAAGTTCAGCACTATCTTTGAATATAAGACCACGCAAAGTAATGCAAGCAGCAGCTTGGTTAGTCAATAATAGTTCTTTATACCAAGAGCAAGGAATAACTCTTGATCAAACGTGGCTGACAAGTATTGAACTAGAAACAGTTTCTGATAACCTTTGTAATGAAAATACAAATATTTCAAGTAACAATTTAGATACCGGTGCTCCAGAAGATGAATGGAGTGAAGACGAAGCAGAAACTCCTGCTGGTGTAACTGACAGTATGTTGACTCCCCCAGATTTTGTTGATGATAGTGAAAAACAAGAAATATACAATTTTGCTCCTGCGGAAGGAAACATACCTCTCAGTTTATTTAGAGATCAGTACTCAAAAGAAATGGCTTACCCGGGGATATTTCTCGGTCAGAAACGAACAGATGATAAACAAAGATTAAAGAGTGTCTATTATAGTGAAATATGCAAATCAGAATTAAGGCGGTCAGATCGACGGGCTGCAATGTGTGTTGAAAACATTTTTTTTAAAGCTAAAAAGTTGCAGATGAAACTGTTGTTAGGACAATCACAAATTGCATTGCGTAAATGCAAATTGGGAAATTGAACACTTAATGCAGGACAATTGAAAACACCTGAAGGTTTAGAAAGTTTAATTCGCCATGATGAAGGCTACAAATTCTTAAGAGCATTAAGAGGTTCACCACCTTACTTTGAAAAAGCTAAAAAAGACTTGTTTGCCATGATTCGCCAATTAGGACCAGCATCACTTTTTTGCAGTTTTTCTTCTGCTGAAACAAAATGGATTCATTTATTGAGGATCCTTGGTAAACTTATTGATCATAAAGACTATAGTGATGATGAACTTGACAATCTAACATGGGAGGAAAAATGTAGACTAATCCAAAGTGACCCAGTTACATATGCTCGGCATTTTGACTATCAATTTAATACTTTTTTGAAAGATTTTTTGAGGAGTAAACTTGCTCCATTAGGAAAAATAAAAGATTGGTTTTACAGGGTGGAGTACCAACAGCGAGGTTCACCTCACATACACATGCTAATATGGCTTGAAAATGCACCTGTATTTGGTGTTGACAAGGATGAAGATGTAATTGCATTTATTGACGGAATAATAACTTGTGGTAAGCCAGAAAATGACTCAAACTTACTTGAACTGGTAAACAGGCAAACACACAGACATTCTCACACATGCCAAAAAAAATCTAAAGCGGTTTGTAGATTTAACTATCCTCAGCCACCTATGAGATCTACACACATACTGTATCCACTTGATGATGATACTTCTCAGACTCTCATAAGAAACAGAAAAGTCTTGTGGAAAGACATTAAGAATAAACTAAATGATCTGAAGGAAGGCAAAGATGTAACCTTTGACCAGCTGCTAGGAGAGCTCGGTGTTTCAGAACATGAATATATTCTTGCTATTCGATCATCTCTTAGTTGTCCTACAATATTTCTTAAAAGAAGTCCAAATGAATTAAGAATAAATAATTATAATCCTGCGTGTCTCCTTGCCTGGAGAGCTAATATGGACATCCAGTTTGTTCTAGATGTTTATGCTTGTGCAATGTACATTGTCTCCTATATTTCAAAGGCTCAAAAGGGAATGAGTGAATTGTTATGCAGAGCTTGTGCTGAAGCTAAGGAGGGAAATGCAAACATTAAACAACAGGTCCGTGATATTGGAAATAAGTTTTTGAACTCAGTAGAAATTAGTGCGCAAGAAGCAGTTTATATTGTTCTTCAACTTCCAATGCGAAAGTCTTCTCGAAATGTGGTGTTCATTAACACATCACCCCCTGCTGAACGAGTTGAATTACTTAAGCCATTAAGTGAAATAGAAAAGATGTCAGATGAATCTGAAGAAATTCATTCAGGTGGTCTCTTGAAACGATATGTTGAACGACCTGACTGTTTGAAAAATATTACCTTTGCTGATTGGACTGCATGGTATGACTCGTGTGGTAAACAAAATAATAAAAAAGCACACAAAAAGGCTGATATTGACAACCTTCCATTGGAAACTGAGGACGGAAATAATGATGATGAATTATTAAATAGTGATGAAAATTCCTTGACAAGTGACCCATCGATTAAATCTATAAGAAAAAGAACTCAAGCTAGAGTCATTCGAAGTGTTTGGTTTAATAAAGAAGCTCAACCAGAAAAACATTATCGAGAGTTGATAATGCTATTTACCCCATGGCGAAATGAGCAAACTGATTTATTCTTCTTTTCTTCTTTTCAAGAACACTATATAGCTCGGTATGATGAGATAGGCGAGCAGATGAGACAATATGCAGTCTGTAGTGAAATTCAACATTCGAGGATTGCTCCAAATGCTTAATAAAAAACAAAGAGAATTTTTTTACCATGCTTTGCATTTAATAAAAACATCTGATAAACCATTTTATGCCTTTTTAAGTGGGGCTGGAGGTGTTGGTAAATCTCACCTTATTAAATCAGTTTACCAAGCAGCATTAAAATACTATAATGCACAAGCTGGTGAAGATTTTCGTCGTGTTCATATACTATTACTTGCTCCTACAGGGAAAGCAGCTTATATTATTAAAGGTAACACGATTCATAATGGCTTAGCAGTTCCAGCAAGTCAATCACTTAAAAATTACAAACCACTTGATTCTGGTAGATTAAACACATTGAGATGCAAACTTGGTGCGTTAAAATTAATACTACTTGATGAAATATCAATGGTTGGAAACAGTATGTTTACAGTTCAGTTGAATAACCGTTTAAAAGATTTAAAAGGAAGTAAAGAAGACTTTGGTGGTGTTAGCATCATAACACTGGGTGACTTGTTTCAACTTAAACCTGTCATGGATGGCTACATTTTCACTGATGTTCAGTGTTTAAGCTCTTATAATATTCTTGCTCCAAATTTATGGAAAAGATATTTCAGAATGTTTGAGCTTGATGAAATTATGCGACAAAGAGAGAACAAAGAGTTTGCTGAGATCTTAAATAGATTAAGAGAAGATAAACATACTTGCAGTGACCTCAACAAACTGAAGGAGAGATGTGTTGAAGAATCTAGTTGTCCTAGAGAAGCCCCACGTTTATTTATACAAAATGCTTTGGTTGATGACTATAATGAAAAAGTTTATGAATCATTTAGTGATGGTAAATATGTAATTAAAGCACAAGATAGTGTGATTGGCGCATGTTCTACTGAGCTTAAAGAGAAAATAATGAGGCAAATACCTTATGTTTCATTGAGAAACTCTAAACAGTTGGCTCATAAACTTAAACTGGCTGTTGGGCAACGAACTGAAATGGCAGTAAATGTCCGAACTGATGATGGTCTAACAAATGGTGCTAGTAACATAATAAAGTTAATACAACTAAGAGACGATACTAAACCATCTGGTCTTGTTTGGGTACAGTTTGATTGTGAAGATGTTGGCAAAAAGACTAGACAGGAAAACAGAACTCTATGTTTTAGAGGTATTGAAAGTACGTGGACACCAATTAAACCTGTTACAACACAATTTGCGGTGGGAAAAACAAAATCAGCTCAAGTTGTAAGAAAACAATTTCCTTTGCGACCAGCATCAGCCAAAACTGTACATAGATCACAAGGTGATACCCAGTCACAAATAGTTGTAAACCTAAATACGAAGAGGGCTATTCCTCATATACATTATGTCGCTTTAAGTCGAGTGACAACAATTGAAGGGTTACATATCACTGACCTATGTGAAGATAAAATATCTATCGATCAAAGAGTTGTTGAAGAAATGGAAACGTTACAAACAGAACGTTCCTTAAAACTTTGTTTTACACCATTGTATATGTTGGATAATTCTGATTTAAAGGTCTGTTACCTCAATGCACGATCTCTACATAAACACATTGAAGATGTTCGGAAAGACGTCAATTACTCCTCTACTGACATTGTAATATTTACTGAGACAAGGTTTACTCCATTGGACCCTAATGAAATGTACAATATTAATGGTTACAGACTATTTAGAAATGATAGTTCTCAATTTTCTGGTTCTGGCCGACCATATGGTGGAACAGCTGTTTACAGTCGAATCCCTTTAAAAGAAGGATATCCCCATGCTCACAACATAAGTGGAATTGAATTTACAATCATTAAAACCGAAAATCGCCCAAACCTGACCATAATTGGGTTGTATCGTTCTCCCAGTATTGCGTTATCACGCCTACTTTCTGCTCTTCGTACTATTCTTGATGAAGATTCCTCATCACAAAACATAATTATTGGAGGCTTTAATGTAAACTGGATGGTGGAATCCGACAGACAATCACTCTATAATTTAATGGTCATAGAAAATAACTACAGCCAATTAATAACAGACTTTACAACTGATAATAAAACATTGATTGATCATGTATACACAAATCTAGTTGAAGAGCAAGTTCATGCTGGAATTCTAGAGACGTACTTTAGTGATCATAAAGCTATATGGGCTTCTTTAAAGACATAGAAGTAAGAATATTATACTATATTAGTTTACATGTGGCAAAATGGACAACCGAAGGTTAATATACCAGAACAGAAAAAACTGGTCCCCAATTGCATCCCAATTACAGTAGCACCAAATGTGCTCTACAAAAATTAATTATTGTTAATTTACGCGGTGTTTCCACAAACAAAAAGTATTGTATGTTTTATCGCCATGCAATCCCACAAAGAACTAAATTATATGTGATTGAAAATTTTATACCAAGGTAAGTTTTTTTTCTTATCTTTTTCCCTTCTTTTCTTCCCTTCTTTTCTTCCCATCTTTTAGATGTCTCCTTTTCATTTTATATTTTTCACTGATTTCATATTTTTTTTAGATACACTACCTATATTATATTTTGTATTGTAAACACGGGAACATCAAGGATAACTTCAGAAAATGAAACTACTCATATTGAAAACATAGGTAAGTAATACTCGCGACTTAATCTTTAAGGTCACTACTGTGCATTTGTTGCTGTAGAGATTAATTGCTTCTTCCCTTTTCAACATTGCTTCTTCCACTTTACAAGTAATGAAACATACTTAGCGTATTGCTTTGGCCTTTGGGAACTAACTGCAGAACTAATGCAGAACTAATGACATTTGACTAAAAGGAAACAATATGGTACGTTACAATATGGCTGAAGTAGAGAACAGGCTATAGAATATAACATATTTCCAGTACAGTAATATTACTTTTTTAAACATTGTAGATGGAACAAAAACAAAATAATGGCACCTTTCAAGGTTCTCCTTAAGAGATAATTGGTAAAACTATAACCGTCTCCACCAAGACTGTGTGCTGTATACTCTACATCACTGTGAAGATGTTACTGGTTGAGAAGGGTATTTTACCTGTCTCATTTGCAGTAAATAAGGAGAAGCCTGACCTTTAAATTTATAGAACTGGATGATATGCTGTATGGAAATTTCCTAATGGTTGGTCAACTTATAATGTGTCAAGTGGTGTCTAATATTTCAGATCAGGAACAAAAGGTTTAGTGTAGGGAAACCCAGGAAAGTTGAAAATTGAGAAGGAATCTTATGCAACTTTAATGGTGTGCATATATCAGGACGCTTTTCAATTAATAACAGAAGATGTATTCATCACAATTTTGGACATATGAAATAACACCTGCTATGATGAATGAATGTACTGTATCCCTATGGAAAAAATAAATGACTTTGTTACTGACGTTACATGTAATACCTTTTTAATATCAAAATATTGAACTTTTGAGGGCAATGCTAATGCTAAGAAAGCTATTTAAGCTATTTTTTTAAGCATTAGTATATTTTTATTATCAAGATAATTTGTCTAGTCGAGACCTCAAACTTTTGTAGTCTAGTTATTGTCGTATGCTATACTAAAGTAAATTACTTTGAACTAGTGAGAAGTGTTCTGAAAAGTGTTGCTTTAATTTACCGATGTACACGATGCGGAACGCGGGACATCGTAATAAAATCAAATGTTTCCTGTTGACAAGGTATTCTGTCCCAGGGATGAATTTGAGGGGAGGCTTTTCATTTTTCATGATTGCATAATCTCAATCATGTTTGAAAGATTTTTGAAATTTTGGTGGCGCCTCGTGAAAACCGGCACCCTATCACAGAGTAGAGACATATAGAGCCGTAACTGACCGTTGTAAACACTGCGGAAGCTTACGTTTTCATGTACCCACTTTTTTTCAGGCGACCGGGCAAAAAATGATCAACTGCGCAAAAAATGATCAACTGCGCGTGCTCAGCAAGTTTATAGTGAGCCGTCATCAGGTCGTCCTCTAATCAGATGCATGCATCTAGTAACTTGCCGAGCATGTGCGCAAAAAAAAAGTGGGTACACTAGTTACGTCTCTGTATGTCTCTACTCTGTGATCGTATTAAAGTGTATCTCAATCATCGTACATCACTGCGATTATTTCAGTGATTTCTATTTGGTTGGCATATAATACAGATTTACTGTACAGACCTACTGGTACTGAAAATTAAAAACATGCCAATTTCAAAGCTTATCATTTTATATATACTTCAGCTCCCTACCCCTCACCAACCATAAATTCTCAGAATGATGTTGGTGAGCGCCCTTGTTAAAGTTTTAGGAATACACCTCAGGGTCGGTTGTTCAAAGGTGGTGGGTTAGCGCTAACCCTGGGTTAAAATTTAACCTACTGTTTTAGTTTGTGTATTTCTACACGTCTGTTTATTTCAAAACTTCAGAGAAGTAGACTCCTATCGATCCAGACAAGATCTCTGAAGAAATTGTTGTCTGTGTCTGGAAGTTTACTTTGAATTTTAGGTTAACCAATGGTTAAGCTAACCCGGCTTTGAACAACCGCCCCTGTTCTGTGCCATCTATCTTCCACCCCCGAGGACCAGCAAATCTACACGCCGATTTTGAACCTGGCACGTGCCAGGCATGATGATGGCATCTTTATAAATTGTTCATAACGCTCCTTATTTGGCGATAAATTCGAAATCATTGTCTATTTCCTTCTTTGGTGATGTACAACCATATTTTTACCAAATAAGGTTCTCGATCGCATGCAAATTCGAAATGATTTATCCTCAAAAAGTCTCTCCCAACTGACAGATATTTTGCATGTTGACTCGAATATCTTGTTGGATTACACGAATACGCAGTAGTAGGTGGGTATCTTTACCGTCTTTTACTATAAATATGTTACTTGCCATGATAAATGTACAGTACAAAATATGCCAGCGATATATAATCCTTGCTTCACTTGTCCTTTTATAGTTTCTTGGCTCATCCAATTCCCTTTTTGTTTAACTTAATAGACTTTGTCACAGGACTATGCACAGAAATACGACCCTTTACTAACATCCTATAATTTATACTACCTATTAATAAAAGTCACTGAAATCTCACGAAGACTCCAAAGAGTAAATTGTCAAATTTCTATATTGTATAAAAATCGCTATGCGTACTTTAATATATTAAATCATAGCTAAAATATTCTACCAATTCATTTGCCGAGATATTGGAAAATCTGAAATTTTATAATACTATATCATATAATTTAGGATTGATATATCAACATGGAGCCAAATCAACGCTCGGCTAAACGTGAACTAGTAGCTTATGTTCATAACGTGTCACCCGTGAAGACAAGTGGTGGAAAAAAGAAATCCTACTTTGACATGCAGCTCCAAACGGAGAATGACGTCGTTCGTGGAGTTTGTTTTGCCTCTACAAGGCATGCAGATTTTTCGACTGTTGCAGAAAAGAAAAGTCCAGTGAAACTCTTGAACATCGACTTTGACAAGCATGACCACACTAGCGTCTTAATGGGAGGCACTGTACAACTGCACGAAGTAAAGGCGTCTTTTGCTGCGACAACTATTCCCACTTCAGTCAACGTTTCATCACTCGCTGCTGTCAATGATAAACAAATCGTCAGTTTCAAAGCAAAAGTAGCAACTCTATCGGGAACCAAACGTGTTGACACGAGAAATGGTGTAAAGCGCAAGGCAGAAGCATTACTGGTCGACCCACATGGAGGAGTAAAGTTAGTCCTTTGGGAAGACTTCATATTGCAAGTGAAAGAAGGGTTAACCTACACTTTTACAAATGTTAGGGTACGAAAAAACAACACTAACGCCAGTGTATCTGTATCAACACCAAATTCAAGTGATTGCACAATTGAAGAGTGCAAACCATTCACTGAACCCCTGGCCACACCCGCTGAATTGCCTGAAACATTTACATCAAACGGTAAAAGCTGAGGTAATTGGCATAACAAAATTTTCGAAGTACTATACTTGTTTGAAGTGTAAAGCAAAATTTAACGATGTCACTACTGTTGTTGTAAAATGCAACAACTGTAATTTCACTCAAAAACTTGAGAAAGCAAGAAAGAATCACTATTTACACGTTTTGATCGAAGCTGAGGAAGACACCCAAACAATTACCTTTTTCGAAGAGTCAATAAAACAAGCAATGGCTTTAGCAGGAGTAGAACAATCCCTGCTGACTGATGATTTAGTAACGAACACGTTTTTAGGGCTTCCAAACTTGTCTATCACTTACGCCAGGAAGACAAAAATTGTCTCTGAAGTGAGTTTATTTGTAGAAGACTAACTAAAAGTCGTCACCTTGATCATGATTCTTAGTGAACGACATCACATCATCAGCTGCCTTGAACAACATATTAATTATTTAATAATGTATTGTTGTGTTGAGAAACTGTATACCTTTACAGTAATACTTTGACTTTGTGCTTCAAAAACATTTTAAACTTTCTATTTTATAGAAAGACTATAATTAAGTAGCTAGTATTGGGTAAATGTCATGGTTATAGACATATGGGCTGTTCTGGCCGTTCTAATATTAAGCTTTAAATTGTTGTGTTCAGTTCTATTTTAGATTTTTAGAGAGATGTTTATATTTATATTATACAGTCAAATCGGTGTTCGTTTTGGTTTACCTTTTTAGCTTTTATACTTGTCGACTGAACGGCAGGCAAAATGTTATATTCTATCTAATTTTGTTTTCTATTAATGGTTTCGTGCATGTAAGGACTTTTATGGCAAATGACGGTTGCAACTTGCAACTGCAAGGGAATTACTTGCATGTTTCAATTGCAACTTCCTTGAAGCTGACGAACGGAACATCCTGTTTGACTGTATTATTAGTATTACAGGTGAAACCCACACAAAGTTTCTTGATTGTCTGATTGGTATTGCTGCATTTGCCATGCCCATGACTTGCCACGTCTCGCTTTTTTTATCAAAATATTGCTTTAAAATATTTATACATTTACAAAATTCTCTATTCTCTACTATTTTAAATCCTGAAAAGTCCACTAACAACCGCAAAAATGTCCAGAGACTGCAGTAATACCAATCATGCAACTGTAAGGAATAGTTTTGTGTTGGCCTAAACGTAATACTGCTTTAGTTATCAATAAACTCGTTTTGATTCCTGAAATGTAGCTATATCTCATAGCTTCTGTGTGACTGTACATGTACCATTTGAGTAATCACCTAAACCTGTACTTCACTCGTGATCTACTATTGAGTTCATGTTAATATACTTGCAATTTGTACACTGTCTGTGTCAATATTTACTTTAATTTGTCTGTGTCAATATTTTCTTTAATTGACAATTTATTGACTTTGCATATTTGCAAATAGACTCGAATCCAGCCAGAGCAAAACGGTTTGAAAACAAATTCGAGTCAAATCAGAGCAAATCAAGCAGTGTTAGGCTAAGCCTTTATCGATACTGTCTTATTTATAGTAAAACAATTTGCTGGCACGGCCAAGGACATATTTCAGCATATCACATTACAATATGGTTTTAATACTATAAAATATATATTAATATGAAAATTCTGAACAATTAAGCTGTAAAAAAACGACACTCTTACCTAAACTTACTGAGAAATTTTGAGTTTTCCCAAAAGAAAACTATGCTCTGGATGGGGTCATCCAATCTGACCATTGGCATTGGCAAATTACAAAATATTGCGGTATGCACTGCTTTATATTCTGCTGTGAGTAAATCGGGCTCTGCTATCCGCGTATCCTTGCACGTGCTCTGAATTTATTTGTTTTTGCGGGGAAAATTAATTAATCTTGCACTCTCAGGACCGACTGTTTGCTTTTTATCTCTCGTTTTATGTGCCAAACCAGGAAAAAAACAACTGTTCGAATCAGAGTATAAAGTTATATTTATGGATGCAAAATTGATTTCTATTCCAGAAATTCATGACTTTCAAGACGGTAATTGCTAGATAGTATACTTCAAAATAAGGTTTCCGTTTTTATAACGTAGAACAAACCATCCTAACGCAAAACTAAACCCTAATACTAACATTAACCCCTAACCTAAACCTAACCCTAACCTATATTGGTGCGTGAAACATGGAACGATAACCGTATTTGGAGCCCAAAATATTTTTTATTTGGAAAGTTTTAAAGCACAATTTTAATCTGAACGTACGGACCAACTGGCGGCCACAGAAGAATGATACCTATACTTGAATGCGGAAACGCCGGAGGTTTATTTCATTTGTAGGCCACCGCATTTTAGTACTTAAAAAGATGAACCAGCATTATTTACGTATTACATGTAAATACGGTCGGCCAACTCTCATATTTTGACGTGGATGTAAAATGACTGGGACACCTGCCAAACAAAGCATATGGAATAGGGCCCAATGAATACAGTAATAAAATTACGGTGCCAATTTGCACAGCATTACATATAGCATCCAGTGCAGCAAAAAAACGGCGTAAATATGGTTGCAACCTACTTTCACCAATTTTTCTCACCCTAGAGTGCAATAATATCTGCCATCCCTACTCCTCTGCGGAGGCGAGTGACACTACCTGAAGCAGACAACGATTTTGAACAGTTTGTTTTTTCAATTAGCCTTCCTCACACCGCAATTTTTGGGTGGTAACCTTTTTTAGAACAAGGATACTAAACAGTTAAATATTTGACAAATTATTTTCACTCGCTTAGATTTTTCACGTTGTTTACAAAATATTTCCCACAAATGGCGGATTTAGACCTGAGAGAAAGACTAATTGCTCATTTCATAGTATGCAGACTATTTGAATCATGAGCATTCTTTATCTTAACATATGACTCACCAGCACGTTAGAACACAGTCTCCGATTGAATAGATTGACAAACATCCTCAAATAAATCATATTAGTCAATTAAAAAAAAAACACAATAATTCTATGCATGTATGCTTAGCGTATCTATTTTTATTCCAAAAGCTAGCCACATGTACGCACTGCGTGCCTATTTTTAGTTGCTGTTTAATTATGCAAGTTTATACTATGTTATTGTTTAGTCTGTTTAAATGTTAGAATTTTCTTCTTTAAACTTTAATGTTGTCGTCACTACATCTGGAAAACCACATAAGAACAAATTAAAAGTATTTTAAAAGAGATCAGGTTGTTTGAAAATCCTAAACGAATACTAAAAATCGTCAAAACATTCTGGTGTCTGAGCCAGAGTGTCATCGAATTGCGATGTAATGTAAACAGAAATTATAGCAAGTTGATGTCAGTCAGCTTAGATGGTCCAAGCCAAAATTATATCGCATTTGAAGTGTCAAACTGAGTTAAAAATAGTGGAAAAAAAGCCGTAATTATACCTATTGTTACAATCCATTTAATAAAATGCAACATTTTTTTGTTTTAATGAAAAAATCAGTTATTTTCATGAGAACGATTTGTTATTCCATCTCAATTTTTTTAATCTCCAATCGCAATAACGTAAAGTATTATTACCCGCGAACCAATGAGTCAAATTTAAGAAACAACCCACTGTTAGAAAGCTGAATGGCTATGCTTTAAAATGAATGTAAACTTTAACGTTTTCGTCTATTATTTGTTTAGCAATTTACATTTCAGTCGAGGATTGCGCTTTTTTTGATACACCCTGTATATCAGGATAGGTATGCTAGCATTTACAAGAATGATACTAGTTCCTTGTGTGTCTTCGGTGGTGTGCACTCTTGCACAGCTCAGATCTTGTTGGGGCTTGGCTTTAATCCTTCCATGGTGAGCATATATCTATGAAAGGTCATACTCGTTTTCCCAAATTCACATTTCTCTTTCCGTAGTGTAAGATTATGATCTTCGATTCACTGTAGCGCTCCTCAAAGTTTTTTGTTGTGGTCCTTCCAGTCAAGTCTGTTCATCATTATATTGTCATTGTTGTTCAAAACTGTCAGGATACTGAATATAATTTTTGCAATCTTTGCATCCAATAGGTCTTGGCGCCATGTTGAGTCCGCCAAAGGCAAGCCTCTTATATTGATAATTGCCCCACGGTGTAGAGAATGTAATGATTTGCCGGGATTGTTCATCAAGAGAAAATCAGTGGTAACCGTGGTTGAGGTCTAATTTACTGAAAATTTTGCGTCCATCGAACTCTGGAATGAAATCTTTGGTTGTTGGGGCTTGCCCTTGGTGAGTGTGCATGATTGATTTATTGACCAATTGTAGATGCAGAGAGGCATGATTGGATTGTGCATGTTTTCCATTTATCAGTGTTATCTTGGCTTGTGTGGTGTGTTTTGAGGTGATTCATGAAACATCCATCATAACTTGAGCTGTTGTCACTACAGCTGTTGTCACTACAGTTATTGCCAATGTGTCTTGTGCGTCTGGTTTGACTTGCCTAGTGCTTGTCATCACTTTAATAATCTTGTTTATCTCAAATGTTCTTTGAATCTGAATGATATTTATTACTACCAAGGTGCTCTTTCTGGTTACGATTGTCTATATTGTGTTTAGTTTTTCCAAACCAAACTCGCATGTAGTGGTTTTTCTTTCCACAGTTATCACACAAACACCAATAGCAGGGCAAGTGGTGTGTTTCTTTGAATTCCTGCAGCGGCCACATGCGTCATCTTCAGTTGGGTGTTGTGTAGGTTTTCTTAAAGCCAGTTTCTTTATTCTTTTGTGCACGGTCTCTTTGTTGATTTTCTTGTTAATAGCATCAGCTTGCTCTGTGGTTTGCTCATCGATAGCGGTCTCCATTAGGATTCTATCTAATGCCCAGTTTTCATGTATTGCTTCACTTCGAATTTTGTGATTGAGCATTGTTTGTATCAAATGAGTAAAGTCCTTGTTTTTCTTAGGAATAAAATGATTGTCTATTTTTCAGGTAAGTACTTTATATGCGTCGTCGTCTTCTGTACCATTCAGATCGAGAAGCCTGTTGTCAAAATCTTGTAATCCGTCCTTTATCATTTCAGGGTCGTTAATATCGAAGAACCCAAACTGTCTCAATTTCCTTCTTATATTTTTGCCAATTTACCGCTGTATCATTGCTGTCTGTCTGCTTGATAAATGGTTTCATTGTGTATTGTGGCATTATTGGGAGTTGTGCTGCTGGCGTGTCAGTCATCCTGTACACAATTGTTGTACATTTAAATCGCCTATGTAGTGTTATAAAGCATGCACTTCATATAACATAAATAATCACTTGTTTATTACTCAGGTATATAATCATAACTAAGACACATGTGCTGGTTGATTGACATATGATAATTAATGTATCAATAGATCAAGTTACTACAATCTCCCCAACGTGGACTGCTTTACTCACACATTGAAACGTTTTCCCACTCTTCTCAAGATTCTAAAATATCCTTGATTGATGAAATCTTTAAACTTTTGCCAAGTTCCTCGAACTGAAACAAATAGTCACCTTGTTGAGCAATGCCAACTTTTCTCATCTCGTTGATGATCATCACCTTTTCCGCATCGGCTGTTTTTGTGACTCACAGTATTTTAATCGGAGTGTTACTACGAGCATGTCGGTGAGTATTGGTCTTTTTTTGTTGGCATACAGCAATGCTTGGACACTCTTTTTCTCAGTCTGTAACACTAACGTAGAGTACTCCATTGTCTGTAGCCTGCGTAGCAGGCGTTTAGCTGACAGGCGGGTACAGAGGGAACGCCTGCCCAAATTGGCTATGACAAATTTGTTTTCGCCCATTAAGGATGATTGACGTTTTGTAATTAGCACCTTCACCCATTATCCAATCATAGTCGAGATTTATATTTAGCATCATGCATGCTTTTTGCTCGGCAACTACGGAATTTGCAGAGATTTTATGCACTATTTAAAACACAAGCAGCTGTGTTTTATCAGATATAAAGATGGTCTGATAAAACACGCACTGCGAATGTTTTAAATTGCTTCAAAAACGATCGATTTAGTATATGTTCATTGGCGAATTACCTTTCAAAAAATTCGGTGTGTATATGTAGAGAAATTAAAATCATTAAAATTTATGTAAATCAAGGGAAATCTCTATCACATATCAAGGATATGACATGTTTATGATTTTTCTTTGTGTTTTCTTCATGAATTATTAGGGAGTTTTTGAAGCTATTTTAGACAACAGTCAGTCACAACGTGCACAGAGCTTTTATCTTTTAAAAGACTCCTGAACTACGGTTGTTTACCATATTCTGCCTTATAGCAAATATAACAGTTGAGCATGTTTTGAAATGTTATTCTTAAAATCATCATTCAACCTCATAGCTGCAATGCCAAGTGATATAGCCTCAACTATCTGGTCTTGAATTATACTTTAAAGTGAACAAATAACAAGATAACTATATTAAAGAAATATTCAGGATATATTTAAAATGTATAATTGAAAGATCAAACTTTTCCGTATTCCTAGGAAGAATCGCGATAACCGGAGTCTTCACCACGTAGCAAATTAATAATATACTTTCTCTGTTCTGGTTCAACTGAATTTCGAAGCCTAAATACTTGAAATATAAGAAAGTTTCCTCGAAAGCATTAACAGGCGGCATATTTTTGAACAAGACTATAAACGCGTCAACACGAGCAAAACTATTGTTGACATTTGAGTTACGTAATTACTTCCGTTAACAAGATTAACCAATGGGAAGCTTTTCCGAAGATTCTTCGGAGAAGAACAAATTAATCATAGGCATTTGGGCAGGCGTTTATTTAACCACGCCCTTTCTTCTCCCGCCTGCACTAAACGCCTGTTATGCAGGCTACATTGTCTGCTGTCTATTTTTCTTTATTGGCGAAAGTTTGTGGACATAAGCAATCAATGACTCTTCTGCACCTCATTAGCTGAACTTTGCTTCCCTTTTGCGCATTCTCATTGTCATCCGTCTTAGCAGAAAGCATGTCTTTAACAGCAGTAAAGCTATCTTTAAATGACACAGCAGTTGCAACTGCAGGACCCTTTTTGGTGCTGTCTAATTATTTCCTTTTCATATGTTTTGCCGTCTTTGCCGTAGAACCCGAACTATGCCCTCTTGCTGCCATTTTCGAAAAAGAACAACCATGTGCAATTGTACATTTATATAAGACACAAACGACAAAACTTGTGACTATATTTGCAACAATTCCGTTAACCCAAGCCTGTGTTCCCTTTAAACGAAATTGTCAAACTACTTCATGTAAAAAACACATTATAGTTTGAGGCAGTAGGGTATTGGATAGCCTGCTAGGTATGGGAATGAAACATAACTATAAAGCAGCCACAGATTTATAAATTCTTTTCGAAAATTTCTGTTTTTGTTAGTCAAAAAAGACATGAATGTGAAATGAAGCAAACTAAAAATATTCTTGTTGAATGTCGGTGCTGTTTTGCATTTGTTGTCTTTGATTAAGTAATTGAATACCTTGTCATCTTCTTGAAATACTTTCGAAAACCGTGTCCATAGTGTATAAAAGGTTAGTGAAGAGTCGTTTTGTTTTCATTTCGTTTTTTCTCGACAGATAAATTTTCACAATTGACATTTTGCAAATGTTTCGGACTTTTCCCTCGCATGACCATGTTTTTTCATTCACAAACATACAATGCCCGGGCACATGATAAAAAACTTGCTGAACTCGAGTATAGTACGGGAAAATATCAAACCTCGGTCTTGGTGTATTGTCTATTGACCTCAATACTGCCCTCACTCTCAAGTTATTAAAGAATCAGGCCTTGAATCAGGCATTACTGGTAATATATGTCATTTGTCAATGCAACAAAGGTCAATAACGATCAAATATTTGCCATATTCAAGCTCTTTCATGTAAAAGTTTCATTTGAAGTTTCAATATTTTGAATTTTTACATGCACTGATGAACTCTGCTGATGATTTGGCCAAGCACATGGCTCGTTAGACATTACAAGTGGAAAATAGGCTTCTATTTACATATGCTAAAAATTGAAATACCAAAATAAAAGGTGCAAATCTGAAAATACAAGCTTGAAAATAACACCCTAAATAGAGTTTTTGATAGCAATGCCAACAAGACTATTACAAAGAAGATGCGATGGTGTCCAAGTTATTCAATTAATTTTTAAAATTTAACTTGATCTGTCTTCAATGAAATATGTACTGCTTGACCTTTCAAAGGCCATAGATTATTATGATGTTGATATTGCGTGGTAAACTATCTGTAAGCATTTAGTAAGATATTGTTTTGCTGAATGGGAGATACAACTTCGGAAATGTTGTTGATCATGTATTCATTAGATTGGTTTTCATAGGTGCGACTGGAGAAGCGTTTGTTTTTACATGCATATAATATACTCGTACAAGGTCAAGGTTGGCAGAAGCCTGTCAGCTTTTCTCAAATACAAATATGCATGCAAACTTACACAAAAATACACAAAAAAGTACTCCTTGTGGGCATTGACCTTTCGAAAACGTTTGCCAAGTATTTCCTAGTTTTAAAAGAAAAGGATACACGAGAACTTTGCGAAAATACAAAATGTGCTGGCACGGGTGAAGTCATCATGATGATGTATATACATTTGATACAATATGCTTGTGTTTTCATCTGGTAACCTGTGATTAAAACCCTATTTGTAACGGGGGTGCGCTCACTGATCGCATCCCTATATATATTTGTCCGTCATTCCTGAATTAGTGATTTGCCTGTACTTTTATGACTTTTAATATTTTTCCTCTGCCGTCATGACAGAGAAAAAAATTCCTGAAAGTTCAAAGTTATGGGCATGTTTGACGAGATTTGTCGAACAAGGTGTCAGGGCCTGAGAATGGGAAAATGGGGATTGGTGATTTAGGACAGTATTTTTTGGCTGAATCACTTCCAATGACAAAAATAGCATATTATAATTGGAGAACATGTAAAAATAGTTTATTACACATAACTTGCAAAGTAAATATCCATAATATATTATATAAAATAGTAAAATGTAATATAATATTGTTTGCTATAAAATACTTATAAATATAAAATACTTTTTTATAATATTTTTATATATGCAAATACACATATTTCTTTGTACCTTCAAGGCATAACATCTCCTTGTCTTGGAGGAAAATCCAAACTTTCTGGAGGCATATGATATCCATAGTGTATGATTATCTTTCCCATGACAACTGTGCTAATTTATTATCAAATTTGGTACAAAATTATTCAAATAAAATCCACATGATTTTCGAAGTTAATATTTGTAAATATTGTGTTTTTAAAATTGTACTGCAGGCTCGTAGTCTACCCTCGTTACACTTTGTGTAACACATAGTATCTTGGCCTAGTGTAAAACACGTGCTTGCCATATGGTATAATTTTTTTCAACAAGTGTTTTATCTTCGACTTTCCTGAATCTTTCTACAGTTTGTACTATAGTAATTATGCCACCAAAAAGGGCTAGAATTTTGGCTGAATGTGCAATTGCAAATATAATGCGACTCATGGATGATGATGACAACAGTGACAGTGATGATGGTAAAATTGGTAGTGATGTTGAAAGTGATTTGAATAGTTTATATGGAGAAACAGGTCAGTGAAATTGTATGACTTTTCATGTACTAACTGTGGAAAACAATAAAACATTTGAAATTATGAAAACTGAATAGCATCTTGTTACCTTTCAAGCCCAAATTTACAAACCCAATGTTTATTTGCAGGCAATGAAGAAAATATGGAAAGACCAGGAGATGCTGAGAATGAAGGCTGCCAGGATGAAACAGAGGATTAAATGGATGAACTCTCTGAATCTGACAAGGACATACGAGCAGGTCGATTGAAGCAGAGATATAAATAAATACAATCCATACCAAATTCCTGAAGAGCTGAAGCATATTGAAAGCATAGTGAAAGTAGACAAACACCGGGGGAATGATGTTGTCTGTGTTTTCTAAAATAAACCACCAACAACAAACATTGGTCGTAACAATCGTGCAAATGTCATAACTGGAAGACAAAGGCCCTCAACCAAAGGCAAAAGTTACTCCAATACCCCGAGCTGCATTCGAGCTGTTTTTTACAGAAGATATCATGGCAACAATTGTTTCCTGCACCAACAGAAAGATTCGGAGCTTAATTTCGACACTCCCAGATAATTTTGTTTCCCAAAACAGTAAATACGCGTACATAAAGGAAACCTGTGTTGATGAGTTATATGCCATCATTGGTTTGTATATCTATCGAGGACTGTACAAACTAAGCACTGTCTCTGTAGATAAGTTATTCTCAAATACATATGGTCCAACAATATTCAGCGCAACTATGTCAAGCAATCGTTTCATATTTATCCGAGCAAATCTGTGTTTTGAAGACTCAAGTACAAGGGACGATAGATAGAAACAAGACCATTTTGCTGCTATAAGAGAGATCTTTGAATCTTTTAACTTTGAATGTATGTCATGCCTTGTACCAAATGATTATCTCTCTTTGGACGAGACATTTTATCCCATGAGAAACCAAATTTCCTTCAAGCAGTATAACCCAAATAAGCCAGCTAAGTATGGTTTATTGTTCAAAGCAATCAATGCTGCAAGGTACCCTTGTACACTTATTGCTTCTCCATACTGTGGTAAGCCAACAGAGGATGGTGGAAAGTACTACGTACAGAAACAATTGTACAACAAATGATTGAGCGCTTATTGGAAAATAAAGCGCTGTTAGCTGGAAGGAACATATCGTTTGATCGGCTATATACATCATTTAGCATTGTACTCTGGTTGTGTATGAGAAGAATATAACATGTCTTGGCACAATGCAAATGAATCGGAAAGGAGTTCCAGCTGAAATGAAAGATTTCAAGAACAGGGAGAACTTATCATCTGAAGTATATTGGCAGAAAGATGGTCCACTATCTTTATCATCATATGTTGTCAATACAGCAACCGGGAAGAAGAATGTGCTGATGTTATCGACACTCAAGCAAATCCTTGGTACAACCAAAGACGACAGTCATAACAAGTTGACATTGTACAAACTGTATGATTTTACGAAAGGTGGTACTGACATTGTTCATCAACGGATGGCATTTCACACAAGCAAAACCAAGTCACGAAGATGGACCATGGTGGCGTTAGCCTACATGATTGATACGGCTCGTGTAAATTCATCCACAATTTATGCCTTGAATAAGAATGTTGATCCTGTCAAACAAAAGTCTTTTGAGCATGGATTTGAATTCGTTATGCAATTGGTCAAACCTCATATTGCAAGACGAAACCAAACCTGTTTGCCTATGGTTGTCAAACAAAAGATTGGGCTAATAATCGGTGACAATTGCCAAAATGATCAATCCGACGCAGATGATGGCCCAGCATTTGGAGAGAGTAGAAGGAGGTGCACTCTGTCAAAAAGCAGCAGCTGGAAAGGGTAACTCTGAAAAAAAATTTCTATAAAATGTGTGAAATCACTCTGCCAGTCGTGTGGTAATTCAACATGCCAGGAATATACGGTTAAAAAATGCAAAGATTGTAAAGAAAAATAGTGGTATTTATGGACATCAGAGGTATGCCATAACATAAAAGTATGTTGTTTGAGAATCTAAATACAACAAAAAATATCACATCCAAAATGTTTTTATATTTTTATAAAAAGGAACCAAAATGGATAAAATATTAGCAATTTTTGCCATTTTTTGATAGCGGTCATAATGAAAGGGGCCAAACCGTAGCATATGCTGCAGCGCAATAATTGTCAGCGGTCAGTTTTATGACGTCACAGGAGTGCTTAGTGCAACTGTGCATGTCTCAAAACAGTACTAAAAAGTAGAAGTTACAAATGTTATGCAATTTTTTATTGAATTAGTCTAGCTTTCATGCCGGATGCAAATTATTTTAAAATTAATTCTCCATTTTTGTTATTCTTTAATGGAGCTGAATGGCAATGATGAGCATATTTGTACCTCGGATATGGAAAGTGAAAGCTTGAACGAAACTTCCAGTTGCAGCTTTAGTAACAACAGTGAGTATTTGCCCCAAGGGCAAATTTTAGATTTGCAGCCTTACCAGTTCGAACCTGTCATTGACACTATTCCCGAGTCATCTGAATCTGATGATGATTACAGCAGTGAAGTGGAGGATGAAAGTTAGATTGGACAACATGGATTGGTAAGGTTTATAATATACGAATATTTAAAACGAGTGCCATTGCCATCTTGTGCTGTAAGGTTGCATAAGAGCTCATTTTCCACCCCCTGGTTTGGAAGAAGATTTTGAATTTGAAGGTTTTCACTTTGCTGATGAATGATTGACATATATTTACAAAATATACATTTTTGTAGATTACAGAAACTAACTGTAGTTGCTTTGTTATTGTTTGTTATTGTTATGTAGCTAGCAAGACATTTTTACACTCAATCGTTGGCCTAAGATGTACTTTATTTAATTACACTGACCTGAAAGGTCAAGTGTCTTAAATCCCTAGTTTTCTGTTTTCTTCTGTTTTTTTCGTCGTCGAGAAATCGAGTTTGCGTTCGCGCATCGCAGGCTCAGGGTGCAATGATTAATCAAAAATGCCATCGATTCTTCGACTCCACGATTCATATATAATAGTAAGAAGCTTGTATTTATGTACGTAATAGCCGGCTCATGCCATGCTTGTGGTGCATTTTTCGTTTATTAGCCCATATATAGACTTATATGGACTTTGACATATTCAGTCCAGTTTCAAAATGGCACCTTTTGGCTGAGTGATCAGAATATATTTCACACAGTTTCGTTGAATTTTCAAAGAGTTGTGCCGGTTTCCTATGGATTTTACGTTGTGTCGCACTCTGAACTTTCTTGCGTGTTGAATTAATATGTTTTTCTTCGTGTAACGACTCGAAAACCCCAAAATTTGGACCTAGCGAATTTTACGAAGGACAAGTTAAAGGTTCGACAGTTTGACTTTTAAACTAATAAACAACTGTCTATAAATATACGTTGTATAGTCATAAGCATCCGTGGTGTAGTTGTGTTCATTTTTTGTCGCACTTTGGACTTTATTGCGTGTTGAATTAATGTTTTTCTTTTTGTATTAAACGACTCTAAAATTTGGCTTCCAAAATTTGGCCGACCGACCCGGCGGATTTATACAATCAAATATATGTTGTATTAAACGACTCGAAAACTCCAAAATTTGGACCCGACGCGAATTTGTACAATATAGTGGAATATAAGCAAGGGCAAGTTAAAGGTTCGACAGTTTATTTTGATTTATTGTATGGTTCTCATTTGCCTAATATAATAACATTTAGTTCACAATATAAACAAGGGCAAGTTAATATATTATACATGTATTAAAATTCGCGCAGTAGCTACTAGTTGGTGCGCCAAAAGCTTTGTGGTAGCTATACTAAAGATAAAGCGTGCCTTCAAAATACCTACAAGAACTAAGACATTTATTGTATGGTTCTAATTTGCTTAATACAATAACATTTAGCTCGACGCGAATTTTAACTAGTATCATATTTCATAATATAATGAACAATGTAAACTAGCCAGTTCTTTTCACCTACAAAATGTCGACAATATACCTTAATACATGTATTAAAATTCGCGCAGTAGCTACTAGAGTTCGAGCAAGTAGTAAAGATAAAGCTTGCATTCAAAATACCAAGACATTTATTGCATGGTTCTCATTTGCCTAATACAATAACATTTAGTTCACAATATAATATAAACAAGGAATAGTCGCTCGATTTGGCTATACTGTTTGCTCGTTTTGAATGTATATTGATCGACTTCAATAATCGATTTACATATCAGTCTGCTCGATTCGAGTAAGTGTTGCCCGATTTGTATCATTGGTGATTTGGTGTTCGACTTATAACTATTGGACCTATTGAATTTTGACAGTAAAAACGCGCGATATATAATACATGTATTAAAATACGCTCAGTAGCTACTAGAATTGGCGCAAGTTGAGATAAAGCGTGCGTTCAAAATACCACTGGTAATGAACAAGAACCAAGACATTTGTTACGAAATCTGCTACAAAATGTCGACAATATAGCATACAGTGTTGGATTTTTCTCATGTGTATAATGTAGCATAACTGCATAACACATGTATTAAAATACATGCAGTAGCTACTAGAATTCGCGCAGCGCTGGGTGCGCAAAATTGCCAAAAGTCGTTTGTGGTAGCTATAGTAAATATAAAATTTATGCTACAAGGGTCAAGGTAATAAATGGGAAATGAACTAGCTATTTTAAAACTGTATAAATGTATGATGATACGTTTGAGATAACATTGAGAAGATGAAGCGAACGAAGAAGAAAAATTCCAGTCGGCGGCCAAAAAGGCCGTTTGCCTTGAAGTTTAAATTGCCCTGTTAGTACATTTAATGCACGTAGTAGCCTATAATATGTGCGTGGAACGCATATTACCTCGTCCTCGACGTTTTGCCCTCGCCCACGACGTTTTACCCTGGCCCTCGACATTTAACCCTCGACACTCGACCAATAGATAAACTCCACACGACATATAGGGACACACAAGGTTGCACTAATTGCATGGTATAGGGTTGAAAAGTTGCCAATGATAAATTGGTGATTTCTGGCTTCTGCTTTTTGTTGTCAAATTATTGATTTTCTTTGGATAAATCTACCGTTGAAACTGTTCTATGCGAACTCTCTTGCTCCCCATTCCCTTGTCTATTACACCATAGCCAATCTCGTTCCCCGAGCCTGCGATCCTCGGTAAGGAAACAAAAGCTCTGGGATAATCCGTTGCCGAAAGTCAGGAATTCAGGCTAAGATTGAACTGCACATTCCATATCAACGGCCAATCAGATTCCTCCCTGAAACGGATTATCCCAGAGCCTTCGTTTCCTTCCCAAGGACCGCAGGCTCAG